ACAGATTCATGAGCAGAAGTTGCTGTTATTCTAAGCTCCCAAGTGTTGGGACGGTTTGTTACATGGCATTTTCTTGGCGATAACTACCTTGATATCTATTACCCTGTTTTCCAGCTCTGTCATAACACTGCCACAAGAAAAATGCTGGCTGAAACTGGTTTGGCTCAGTGGTAGAGCATCTGTCTGCGGACTGAAAGGTCCCAGGTTTGATTCCGGTCAAGGGCATGTACATTGGTTGTGGGCACATCCCCAGTAGGGGGTGTGCAAGAGGCAGCTGGTCGATGTTTCTCTCTCATCGAGGTTTCTAGCTCTCTATCTCTCTCCCTTCCTCCTTTCTGTAAAATATCAATAAAATATATTTTCCAAAAAAAATGCTGACACCACACAGTAGGTCACCTGTCGTTTAAATGACCATTAACAGCCTAGCCAGTGTGCCTCAGTAGATAATTCTCTCTCATCGTTGATGTTTCTATCCTTCTCTTTCTTTCCCTTCCTCTCTCTGAAATCAATAAAAAATAAAAAATAAATAAAATAAAATAAAATAAAAGGCCATTAAAAAAGTTGCAATAGCAAAAACAAACAAAAAAAGCATAAAATAAATAGTTCACTTTACTAAATGAAACTACCTTTTACTGGGTGAATATATAATAACTCCTGCTTCAGAAATTGCTAGATGTTAAGGTTGGTTCTAGAAATAACACCCAAGTTCTCTTCTTAACAGTACATAGAAAATATTATTCATCTCTCTGAAAATGAGTTTCCTCATTAAGTACTTTTCTTTATTAAAAATGTTTGATGTTGACACTACTGTAGGTTTTCCCCACTTCCCCTTTTCCCTTCCCTTGGATGTCACCGCACTACTGCCTGGGTCCATGGAGTATGCATATATATTCTTTAGCGAATCCCTTCACCTTCTTTATCTAGTCACCCTCTTCCTCCTCTCCTCGGCCACATGCCAATCTGGTCTATGTTTCTGTGCTTCTGGTTCCATTTTGTTGGCCAGTTTATTTTCTTCATTAGATTCCACAAATACTTTTCATTTTGTGAATGAGTTTTCTTTGCAAGCAAGCATAATGCCTCATGTATTAGAGTTCTAGGAAATCACAGTACAAGTCAATCTTCCTTCTCTTTACGATGTCATTTCTTTTTTAACCTGAAAATTTGTTCTCCAGGAAAAACAGAACCAACAGGTTGTACATAGACATAGGAAGAGATTTACTAAAAATATTGATATAGAGAAGGCAGCATTCTGCAAACTTTTGTAGGATGTGAGTTTCTTTCTGGATTCCCTCTTCTTCCTCCCAAGTGCCCTAGAATCAAAAGACCCAGTAAGAAGTAACTTCCCTCTCACCATTCCCCACCATGGGAGGGAGTATCGGGGATGTGTAATTGTGGATCTTCCACAGTGTGCTGCTCAGAACTTGTCTTACATCTTAGGAACTCTTAGAAACTGAATTTACTGCTCAAATAAGCCAGGTTACTGTCAATAATAATAAAAGAGAATAATAAGGAAGAAAAGGAGGTGAAAGAGGAAAGATGAAGGAGGAAAAGACGGAAGAGGGTCAAACGTGGAAGGAGGAGGAGGAAGAGGAGAACAAGGAAGATAAAAGAGAACAGGGAAGAGGAACAAACTTTTAATAAATCTGTAGCCAGTCCCTGGGCTGAAGGCAATAGATAAAATCTCTCATATATTCACATAAATACTCTAAATAACAGATGCTATTTTCATCATTGCTTTACAAAGGAAAAACCTGAGAATTAGGTGCTAAGTTACTACTGAGGGCCTGCAGTAGAATTTGATTCTAGATTTGTCTGACCCTAGAGTTCCGAGCTTCTAATGACTAAAAATAATTTTGGTGAAAAAAAGTTAAAATGAAGTGTGTTCCTTCTTTGTAGCTTATTTATGCCACAGACCCTCCAAACAGTTGGGTGGGGAAAAAATGAGGTAACTACATTATTGAGAACTTGACATCAATCTATGCATAGTTGACCAAGGGAGCATTGTTAATTATAAGCTAAGCAAATGAGATACACATTAGCAGTCGTTTAAAAACATTTAAAAATTAGTATTTGTAATTATTTTAATCACTAAAAGTATTATAGTATATTTTTATCAACAACCTCTGACTATAACTTTTATTTATTTTTAAAATATATTTTTATTGATTTCAGAGAGGAAGAGAGAGGGAGGTAGAAACATCAACAATTAGAGAGAACCAAGCCTCCTGCACATCTCCCACTGGGAATTGAACCTGCAACCTGAGCATGTGCCCTGGCTGGGAAACAAACCATGACCTCCTGGCTCATAGGTCCATGCTCAACCATTGATCCATGCTGGCTGGGCTGAAGGTAACTTTTACATTCAGTTAAAATTAAATTATATATGTACTTAGGGAAAATTTCAGGCTATCAGGTTTTATTTTCTTGCTACAATGCTTTTATAATTCATCTCTATAGCTAAAACTGAATACACACAATGACAGGCTTTTCAATTAATTTTCACTCATATTGTGATGGCAAATAAACCCTCAGTTAATTGTCTTTGGGGAAGCAAGATGAAATTTTATCATAAAAAGAAAGAAAAAAATGAGCTGGTTCACAATCAATTTCAGTTAAATCAACATTGTAATCTGTAAAAACAGTATTTTGTGATACTCATATTTTCATAACTCAATTCCAAGTTTATCCATTCAACATGTCTACAAAGCACATTACCCAAACATTAACTACTTATCAGATAATCTACCATCATACTGACAGGTGGGCCTTACTTGCTTTGGCAGGAGTTCAAAGTTTCTAGGTTTGGTGGCAAAATAGCTATTTACCTTGATAAGAGTTCTTGCTGTATTTCAGTGGCTAGAACATCATATGAAACTGATTTCAAAATTGAAAGATTAAAATAGCTTATTCTTCTGTTGACACATTTTCATTGATTCTTCTAAATTTACCTCCTAAGTCTGAAAGTTTCCTACTTTTCATGGTGACAGCCTCCTCCCAACATCTCAAGGGAAACTTTTATTCTCTATGCCACATCAACAGATATGACCAACTAACTTCAATCTTTATTCCAGACTGATACCTATTTTAATATTGATCATTTACTTTCACTTTAGCCCTCACCCTGCATTCTATCGAAGACTGTGATTAATAAAGCTACAATATTGACTATAGGGAATGTGGCTTATTGTTCTTACAAAGGCAAGGATGCAATTGAAATCTGGCTTTAATCATCATTGAGGGACTCAATGGCTCCGAGCTCCAGCACTGGGGCAGCAGCTTGAAAGGCGCATACAGGAAAGAACGAAACTGTCTGATACCAGGCCGAGAGCTGGAGATGCAGCGTTCACCCACACACAGTGCTACCAGAGGCCATTGTTCCTTTTCTGAGCCCTTTCCCCACAGAGCAGGCAGGCGGGTGCCAAAGCTGAGGCATCTCCATCCACCTGGCTATCAGTTTGCCCTGACCTGGTGATTCCCTGAGACCCTGCCTCTCCCATCTTACAGGCTCACCCAAGATGCTTCCAGTGGCTTTTCTATATGAGTGGCCTGTCATGGCTCATGCTTCAGACTTTACTAGAATCTCTCAAGAAGCATCTGGCCTCAGTGAGCCTGTACCTCTCACTAAGTGACCCCAGGCCCGACACAAGCACTAGCTGGCATTTGTTTGCAGCTTGGCCTCTACTGGGCACCTGTAAGCCCAGCATAAGTAGCAGCTATCTGCAGATCACTTTGTAGCTCATGCTGGGTAGCCCGAGGCAAGGCACAGATGCTGACTTTGGTCTGCACCTACTGGGAAGCTAAAGATCCAGCTCACCAAGTGGACCATGTTTCAGACCATGTCAAAGCACCACCCAAACACCTCCACAAGTGACACACTCAAAAGGCAAACTCAGCAGACACTAGAGCCCCAATGAAGTAAGTCCTGCTCCCTGTGGTTGGTCCCTGCACGGCTGATCCTCCATGGTGGTCACAGCCAGTCTTTGCAGCTGAGTGGCCTGGGGATAAATCCCTCCCATTAATATGCCAACAGTAATCAAGTCTCAATCACAATAGGAGAGTATACACAGCCCATGCAGGGAGGGGGCACCTGAAGGGCTCAGCTCAGATGAATAGATGTCTTGGACTCTGACATCTACTACATACGACCACTTTACCAAGCTTGGGAGGGGCAGCAGGCCTATATAACACATAAAAACACACTCAGGGAGGCTGCCAAAATGAGGAGAAAGAGAAACCTGTCTCAAATGAAAGAACAGAGCAAGAAATTGGAAATCTATTTGAAAACATAATGACAGAAAACTGCCCTAAACTGGTGAAGGAAACAGACATACAAGCCCAGAAAGTACAGAGTCCCAAACAAGACAAATTGTGACTAAAACAAAAGATTAAAGACAAAGAGAGAATCTTTTTTAATAAAGCGATGCATTTATTTTATTCAGCAAAACCCAGGGATTATAGGCAAACTATTTTACATAAATTAATTGACAAATAAAATTCTAGACAAATTTAAAAATAAAATCTTGAAAGAAGGAAAAAAATGCACACACCTAAAATTACAGTATTAGGTAAGAGCCACGTGATTTGCAGACCTAGGTTGCTCGATACAATCACCTAGGGAAGGTGGGCAGGCGCCATTTTCCATTTCCACCACTAGACACAGTTCAGTGCCCAGTTTTCATACAGCGTCTCTTCCTTCAGTCTTTTGTATTTTGGTTGTTTTGCAAAACTTGCTTTTATTTTAATATTGAGGTCAGGATTTCAACTGCTGTAAAATTATAAATTTTTATATTTCTAGCAGTGTCTCAGGAGCTAGTTCCCTTTGCTCACAGGTGCAGGCATGCTTCCCACTGGCAGAGCTACACGTACCCTGCGGCTGGCTGTCTGGAAAAGAAACCAGCTGTCTCCTTCCCTCATGCCTCTGTCCTTCTCTTCGCAGAACCCGGTTTGTGCTGCTGTGATCCTTAGATCCAAAGTCAGCCAGCTTCTTGTTTCCTTTGTGTTTATATGGCATTTTTTCTGTGTTGCTGTTTAGAATAAATAAACGATTTACATTTAAAAAAAAAAAGAGAGAGAGAGCCAAGTGATTTATTGTCTTACTAGAGGCCCGGTACACAAATTCATGCACAGGTGGGGTCTATCTAGCCCAGCCTGTTGAGGCCAATCAGGTCTACAGGGGAGAGGGCTGTGGGCAGTTGGCCAGCCAGCCTAACCCCGTGGTCAAACTCCCCATTGAACTCCCTGTACAGGGGACAATTTGTATATTACCCTGTTGTTATATAGAATAACAGAGCAAACAAAATCACTGAAAACTTAATGAGTATAGTATAGGTGTTATAACTATGAGCATTACTGTTAGTGTGTATGCCATGAAGTCTGAAGAAGCATTGGATGTATGGTCCTTCTCATACACCCTCCCAAACAGAGTTACTGTCAAGACAGGTCCAGATGGTGGCTTCAGGCTCAGCAAGCGTCCATCACTCAACACCTAATTAAAACACAAAGAAGGTGACTGGATTTAACTTTAAGTTATACAACCCACAACACACTTTTAAAATTCAGTACAACTGGACAAGGAAACAATAAATATAATGGCCAGATTCTGTTCTATCAGAAATATTTGAAATGATACAGAAGGAAAATTGGAACCATGGAACTGGTACTGATTCATTTATCATTGAAACTAGGGGCCTGGTGCACAAAATACATGCACATTAAAAGGAAATTAATTAGAGGAAATATTTTAATATTGCTATTTGCCCTTTCTCTATAATAGAAGTGTCAGAGATGAAAGAAAATTAGTAAAATGTATATGAAAATCTTCCTCCTATCAGAGTCTGGGGCACACCACGAGACCTAGAGTCAAGTCCCCACCCACTACCCTCATGGGCTTCGCAAATGAAGACCCAGACCTTGCCAGCTCCCCCGCCCCCCATCAAGACCCTCCGGGTCGGGGGGGGGGGGGGGAGGGTTGGGGGTGGGCGTGTACGCATAGCCTCGGGTCCCCTGGCCCAGTGCCAGGGCAGGGAGTGTGGCCTGATGTCCCCTGCCAAGTCCTGCTAGGTAGGGGGGGCACAGCCTGAGGTCTCCTGACCTGGTGCAGTTGCAGTGGGTGCTGCCTGAGGTCCCCTGTCAAGCCCCACGAGGGGGGGAATGCAGCCTAAGGTCTCTCACCCCAGCCATATGCCATGCAGCCTCAGGTCCCTGCTGTTTGGTTGTGATGTTATAGTGTCCAAGCTAATTTGCATATTTCTCCATTATATAGATAGAAGAAGATGCCTGTAATCAATAGCTTATATTTACTTACCTGAGGAAGCATTCCATAAGTTAATAGATATAAAACAGTGGATTTGGGAGTATATAAGAGAAATCTAGTCCTCTCAGACAAGATAAAGACTTCTTGAAGGATTAGAAGGGATTGACTGACTAAGGGATTTCAGCTGAATGTCTATCAAGCCTGTCAATCACTCACCACAGCTCCCTAACCTGTCCGTTTCCCCCAACTCCACACAGTAGCTGTTTCTACCAGGAGAAAGGAGTGAGAGCAGAACTTGCAGGAAAAGCCAATAGAAAAAATGGAACTGGGCAGAGTGCTTGGGCAATATGGAATATTTCCAGCCTCTAAAAATACACTTAAAAACAACTCTGCTTTCTTACCAACATCAGACACTGAAATTCTCTCTCCTTGGCTTTTCATTCTTTCCTGTTCTCCTATGGCCACATGGAACCTTCACCCACATCATGAGAGGGATTCCAAACTCATTAGTCAACAGAGCCAAATATCAACACTACAACGATTGAAATTTCTTTTGAGAGCCAAATTTTTTAAACTTAAACTTCTTCTAATGCCACTTCTTCAAAATAGACTCTCCCAGGCCATAGTATTTTGTGGAAGAGCCACACTCAAGGGGCCAAAGAGCCGCATGTGGCTCTTGAGCCGCAGTTTGGCGACCACAGCCCTAGACCGTCGCTGCTCAGTGATGCCAATGGTTTTTTGTGTTTTTTTTTTTTTTTCTAGTGGGACTAGTCCTGAAACTCATCAAATCTTCTTTCTACCTTAAACTGTCCAGCCTTCTCCCTACAGTTCCCACAATAGTATTTGTCTTTATTCTTAGGAACACACTAATTATTATATTAAGGCTTTCCAGTTAAGGAAAAAAAAATGCAGCCTGGCCACTGTGGCTCAGTGATTGAGCATCGACCTATGAACCAAGAGGTCTTGGTTTAATTCCCAGTCAGGGCACATGCCCGGGTTGCAGGCTCAATCCCCAGTATGAGGCGTGTAGGAGGCAGCCGGTTTTTGATGTTTCTATCTCTCTCTCCCTCTTCCTTCCTCTCTGAAATCAATAAAAAATATATAGTTTTTTTTTAATTTTAAATACAGTTTGCTCAGTGTCTTTCCTTAGCCCTAAGGTCAATTTTACCCTTTTCAAATAGAGATTTTTGTGACTATAAACACTTGGGTAAGTTTTGTACTCAAACAGAGTACATTTCATGTACTCACATGAAATGAGTTGGCAATATTAAGCAAAGATTCTTACCTGAAATTCTCCAGGTGCAAGCTGAATTTCACTCAGCAGCACCTCAGGAAACACATACTGGGTTCCAAAGGTGCCACTGAGGGAGAACATTTCAAACCTGGTGGAAGCAGTTTCAACTGAGTGACCACACGTGTGTAAGCTTGTTGTCTTACACTTCAACAGAGTGCAAATCTAGAAAGTAAAGGCAAACCGTTAATTCCTAGGCAAGCCAATTGAAACACTCTCCTGACCCTGAAAAAAATGCCCAGGTTCCTTTGTTTGGAAAAATATTTTCCTCAATTGATTAATCCAGTTCATTGCTGAATAGCTAATGCAACTAGCAATGGGGGGGTGGGGGGGAGGGTGGGAGAGAAAAAAAAGGGATGTCTTCTTTTGAAGTTAAGTGGAAAGCATTTAGGACAAGTGTGTTAAGATGGGATATAAATAACTTTCAGATAAAGGTAGAATACATGCTTCTTTTTGTTCCCTTGAAATCCTATTAAAACTAACATTATTGTTTTTAAGATAGAAGTCTAGAGGATAGGGGTCCAGGAGGGTAGACCATGGCACAATTTTAGAACCAGGGATGTTAATGCAAAGGTTATAACTGAGTTAGCTGGTCTAAGAAAGCCAAGTCCTAAGTTGGTAGTGAGGAAAGTCAAGAATCAACCCTAACTGCACTGCAGAGTACTCCAGAGATTCCACTCCTGCTGCCCCAGTACCTCCGGAGCTGTTACAGATATGGAGGCTGAAGTAAGGAAAATTGGTGGGAAGTTGTTAAAGATGCTTCAGGTACTGAGTCCCCTCCAACTATTCCAGTAAAAGACGGGCATTTATTTCCAGAGAGGGAAAGCAGATGACATTGAGATGGAGGTTTTTAAATGATGTGGTTGAAGGGGATTGCATGAATTAATCATGGGAAATGTTGGGATCGTCTGACTTTACCACAACCCCACCCTGTGAGGTCATTTCTCCCACTTGACTCTTTACGTGCTGCCAACAAAGCATTTGCCCTTCAGGAACAGAGATGCTAGACAGGAGTTCCAGTTGAATTAAGTTCAGATAAGTCAAAAATAGTAAAAATAGTTTTTAATATGAGAATGTTTCAAATATCACAAGGGACATACTTATATTTTAAAAAACAGATCCTTGCTTACCTAACTTTACATTTACTTGGTCATCCTGCATTAGAAGGATTTTGAAGCTTAAAAAACCTGACCAACCCAAGGGGAAGTCTCTAAAAATGCTCACCTGAGGGATTCCCCTAAACAAAGGCTGAGTTAAATCACCCTACTGTGCAGGAAAGGCAAGGATGACCCACACGCTCAGAACTTTCCGTTAGTTTTTGGTAATTCTAACGTGTCACCCTATATCTGAAAAAACTACTAAATTGAGAATTTTAAGTTCTAAAACCTGTCTAGAACCAGTGGTTTTGTCAAGGGTACACTGCCCAGCAAAACAACAGAGGACTTTGTTTACTTGACAGGCCTCACACCAAGAAGGGACTTACCACTGCTCTCTCCAGTGGAGCCAAGACTCTGGTGGAGGCAGAGAGGCAGGACAAGATTGAGAACGGAAAGGAAAAAAGATGGAGAGAGGAAAAGCCAATAGATGGCCATATTGTTTTATATCCAATTTAAAATCCTATCACAAAAAAGAACAATTATATGTCATAAGTTTTGAATTTTAGAAATATGGCAATGTAATATCATATATGTACCATATACATAGTGCAATTAATGTCAAAATGTTAAAGAATATATGGTAATATTTATATGGCAATAAGTTTTTCTACAAAATAACTAGTTTAATTTTTAATTGATGGGCATTTTCTCTAACCATTTTCCCTCCTTTCTTCAGCACCTAAGAAAACTGATTCCTACATTTCCAACCTTTTTTTGTTGCTCTTTCCCTTAGACCTAACAACAAACAAGGTTCTCTTATCTTTTGGAAAAACAAAAACTAAAAACAGCGTTTGTGGCCAGAGTGACTGTCTAGTTCTTGTCTCATTTCTCTTCCTCCTGTCTCAGACAAGAGTTTTAAAAAGGGCCCCACCAGCGTGGCTCAGTGGTTGAGCATCGAACTATGAACCAGAAGGTCAGGGCACATGTCTGGGTTTCAGGGTTGATCCTGAATAGGAGGTATGTAGGAGGCAGCCAATCAATATTTCTTTTTTTTAAGATATATATATTTTATTGATTTTTTTATAGAGAGGAAGGAAGAGAGATAGAGAGCTAGAAACGTCAATGAGAAAGAAACATCGACCAGCTGCCTCTTGCACACCCCCTACCGGGGATGTGCCCACAACCAATGTACATGCCCTTGACCGGAATCGAACCTGGGACTCTTCAGTCCGCAGACCGATGCTCTACCACTGAGCCAAACCGGTTTCGGTGCCAATCAATATTTCTATCTCTCTCTCCCTTCCTCTCTGAAATCAATAAAAATATACTAGAATTTCTTTTTAAAAAGAGTTTTGAAGAGGAAACATTCATTCATTCTTACAAAATTTTTACTTCCCTTCAACTTTTCAACCTATTGTAATCTGTCTTTCACTGTGTCATCATATGCTCAGAAAATTCTACAAAATTGCACTTATTCATGCCAGTAATGTTAAACATATTGCAGTGCGATGATGTGCACTGACCATCAGGGGGCAGCACAGTATGAAGAAAGGCCCAGGCCAGAAACTGGGGAATGGAAGGTCCCAATCTGCTCTGATCGCTGGCCAAGCCTAGGAACCCTACCCATGCACGAATTTCATGCATCAGGCCTCTAGTTTTCATGTAATATACACATAATATATACTTGGTATGTAGTAGGCACTTGATAGTTATTTGTTAAAAAGAACAAACATTGATAGAGTACCTATCACACAGCATACAAAATGTTACACAGTGGGGGCAGTTCCATCACTCAAAAAGCTTTCAGTCTCAGGATACTGCAATAATCTGGGTGAAAAAGGATTGGAGACCAAATCATGAAAGATAAGACCAGAATGGAAGAATAAGAAGTCTGATTTTTTTTTTTTTTTAGAGTCCCATCGCATAAGACTATTACAGTTCCTGCTTTATAGCTGAATCTTTTCAGCAATAAACTATTTTACTATATATCTCAGAGATCAACTCCACATGTGTCGAGGACATACTTACTGTTAAGCTGTATACAACAAAATAGGCATGAGTGAACATATTGGGAAAATGGCTACTTTTGTTCAGATAGAAAATATCAGACATTAATTACCCATTAAAATAGTCTCTAATGTGATTATTATATCATTTCAAACATTGGTACTGCAAATTAAATGTCCTGGCCTTTTTCCGACCAGTTTAATATTAGACTAACAATTGCAAGTTAGCAATGCCTAACTAAATTTGAATTTCAGACAATAAGATTTTTGGTATACATATCCCCCAAAGTTGGATATACTTATACCAAAAAACAATTCATTATTTATCTGAAATTTAAATTGTACTGGCTATCTTATATTTTATCTGGTAACTCCACTGCCACCCAGATAATCTTACCTGCAAATGATAGCTCCCTTCCACAGTATGTAGTCCATCAAATGCCCCTAGGGCGTATACTTCATCTGTTCTCTTCTCAGACATCTTATAGCTTAGATGACAACAGAGCTCTTTCTGACAAACTGTATAATTTCCTGTGACTCCTCTGAGCTCCAAGAAGGTATATTCATCAAAAAAGACAGTGCCCTTAAATGCCTTGTTGCTTGTTGGGAATGCTTCTATTCCACTAGCATAAGAAGTCCAATTCACCACGACAGGGCGCTTTGGGTGGGAATCCAGCTGTGAGAGAAGGAGTTTTCCCTTCTCTGTCTTCATATCATAATGAAATGCTCTTGGAGAATCAGGTGCGTAGATGCCACTTCCTGGAAGCGACACATTGGAAATGATATTTGAAACAGAAAAGTGAAAATAATAACATAGTTGTTACTGTTTTAAACTCACATTCACATTTTATTTCCTCTCAGGTATATATTTTACTAACTTCAGTGAAATATGCTGAGGACAACAGATGATGATAAAAATCCAATAGAGTCTGACCCCAAGAAGCCAAGAAGAGTTGTCACATAAGAAGTGGCAAATTTTGGGGGGAAGAGGGGAGAGAAAAAGGATGTTATTTAACTTGAATAAAACTAAATAAATCTGGAAATAATTTATATGAAGATTAATTCTACAGCCTGTCACCAGCTAGAGACACAAAAATTAAGAGTTGAGAAACATTGTGTTAAGGAGTACATATTAGTTAAAAAATATATATATTTTTTTCTTTTTGGATTCCATCAAGTTTGTAAATCTTAACAATTATACATTACCTGTCATTTTCTTTGAGGGGTGATGTATATTTGATGCAAGGAAATTGACCTTCATGCCCATAGCCCAAGCTGAGTGGAATTCAATAGCTGACAAATGCGGCAAAACATTCATCCACGCTGTGGGAAACAGAATGGTGTCCACATGGAAGTCTTTCACCAGAGTCACAGCAGGATCGTGGAAGAGTATATCGAAGCACGTGAAAATGCCAAACCTCCCAAAGGCGGTGTCGAAAGTCACAACCTCAGGCTCCTTGGGTGCATTGAATTGATCTTCACCCAAGAAAAGGTTTTGCTGCAATGAACAGAAGATGAAGTCGGGAGAAATCTCTTTTTAGAAGCTGGCCTGGATGTCCTTGTGTCTGAAAAAGCACAAGTGCACCTGGATTCTGCAGTGCTAATTTCATCCATGGCCATCGGCTTCATAGGGAAAGAGTGCGGAACTTGAGATTACTATGGCTAAGAGGAGCCTTTGGTTCAATCTCCACATTTTTAGATATGTACAAGGGAATCCTTATCTCTTAAGACCTTGTATCTTACAAGAGGTAGGAGCGAAATAGATAATGCATATTTGCCAAGAACACATCTATTTTCTGAGGATAAAGGACTTTCTTTGCTTCTTTTTCATTCAAATTAAGTCTACCTGCTAAGTGCTTTTTCATTCTAGCCTTGAGCCATTGCCAGAGTATGTCTTTAAAAGGAGAAAGTCCAAAAGGTGACATATAGTTCAATGCAGGTATGATTCTCATATACTCCCAACAACATACTCCTGTGTTCCTAAGTGCACAGGAAACCTTTCGAGCCTCTTTATAGGAGCTTCCCACACCTAATCATCACTTTCTCGGCTTTGTCTCTACTCAGCTTCTAAAGTATGCATTTCCTATCTAATAATCTTATCTAATAAAGAGGGAATGTGCTAACTGACCCTCAAGCCATTGCAAAGATGGCGGCGCCCACAGCCAATAAGGAGGGAATATGCTAATTGACTGCCCCATCCTCAAAGATGGTGGAGCCCACAGCCACAAGATGGCAGTGCCCAGTCACCTCAGCCCTATCAGGTTGGCAGAAGCATGACAAGGCCAGGCCCACTTCACATGCCTGCCTCTGGAGTCCCCCAGACCCTTCAGCCCCTCAGCTGCCCAGGGCTGGCCCGAGGCTCAGGTAACCAGGGCCAGCCAAGGCTTGTACTGCTGGCAGTGGCAGCAGCAGAGGTGTGATGGGGCATCACCTTCCCCTGATCGCCAGGTCTCCTCCCACCCCTAAGGGTTCCTGGACTGTGAGAAGGGGCAGGCCAGGCTGAGGGACCCCTTCCACCCCCACTCCAGTGCATGAATTTTCATGCACTGGGCCTCTAGTTATCAATAATAAGGATTTCCCCCTCTTGTCCGCTTTATTTTGTTATGCATTTAGTAATGATTTGCTTTTAATTCTACCTTATGATAGCGTGCCACCAGTTTTCCTTGAGAGTCAAACACCACATCAGTGTTGTATTGGTAACGGCCATCAGAAGGACACTGGGGGTCACTGGCATTGCATAGCTTCTTGTCTCCAATATTTGCCACAACGTAAATAGAGTTTTCCTTGGCCAGGCAGCTGAGTCTTTCTTGGACTGGGGTATGGCCAAATCTGGTATGTGTTATTGGAAGAGGAAAACAAAAATCAAGCTTAGCTTTTTTTTTTTTTTTAATATATTTTATTGATTTTACACAGAGAGGAATTGAGAGGGATAGAGAGTTAGAAATGTCGATGAGAGAGAAACATCGACCAGCTGCCTCTTGCACACCCTCCACCAGGGTTGTGCCCGCAACCAAGGTACGTGCCCTTGACAGGAATCGAACCCGGGACCTTTCGGTCCGCAGTCCAACGCTCTATCCATTGAGCCAAACTGGTTTCAGCTCAAGCTTAGCTTTTAATAAAACTCAGGATGATAGTGGCCTGAACCTACCATGCAATATTCACATTAAAAAATAAATTCTCAATATCGTAGAAGATAAAGATTAAAACGAAAAGAGACTTCAGAGGAAGTACATACTTGTGGGAATTCATTTGTAGGAAATGGTTCTAGAGTAACACTCTAGGCCATGTATTTTTTTCTTCATGGCATTTATCATCATCCATAATCATATATTCATTTATGTGTTAATCATATATTGTATAATAGATCTTATAGATATTATGGGCCAAATACACATGCATCTCCTATTCACTGAACCCATGCCTGACAGAAAACAGGCATTAAAAAAATATTTTGAATGAAAAAAGGTCAATTTAGAAGGAGGATTCTAGGAAGATGGAAAAGTTGGAAGCACCAGAAATCTATTTGTCCCTTTAGATAACAATTGCACTTGCAGAATCGGCCTAATATAATACTGCAGTTTATTTGAAGGCTTGAAACTTCCAGAGGAGGGCTTGGTGGGTAAATTGAGTCATTTTCCATCTATTTTAACACTTAGTTCAGCAGTAACTACCCATGACCCATTTTTACCCCAGCTCCTAGGGCAGGCAGCCATGCAGATGTTCCGGGAGCATTGTGCGGGCAGTTTATGAGAGCAGGGTGAGCTATAAGGCCCCTTTCCCCCAAATATTGGGAGTCTGTGTTCTGAGCAGACTCTGCTTCTGCTCTGCTTTGATAACTGCTTCTGATCTCGGAGGTGCAGACTTGGGGGCAGGCAGCCTTTGTTGTACCCCTCACGCCTTGTTCCAAGTGACTTCTAGGGGATTTGTAAGGCCTTTATTTTTTTGTCCCCTTTAAGTGCCAGACATTTAAGGACTAGGACATCAAAAAGCAATTGCATGTACAGAAGAATTTAGAAAGTCACCGCACATGCCCAGGGAAAGGCACAGGCTAACAAAAAACTCAGACCTTAACTCCTCAATTATGCCCAGTACATCAACAGCTGTAACAATCAAAACAAACAAGAGATACAAAACCCCGAAGAAGGGAGAAGTTTTGATTTCCAATTATCGCATTATAAGATTCAAATGTCCATTTAGAAAAAAAAAAATCATAAGGCATACCAATAACCAGGAAAAAATAAACTACCAGGTACCATCTTGGAGAAAGACCAAATGCCATACTCACTGCACATAAATTCTTCCATTTGAGGTGTAGCAACAACACTAGCACATATTTCTTTTTCCCTGTTCGCAATTCCAGGGCTAGAAGGTTGGTTTTGCCATAGATCTCAGCAACCTTAGCATATGATTTTTTCTTTCTTTAGTAAGATGAGACCTTTCACTTTCAACTTAAAGGATGTACTTCATAGCTTCTTTTTATCATGTCCAAATGGCCAGCATCACTACTCTTGTGTTTTGGAGCCATTATTAAGTAAAATACGGGTTACCAGCACACAAGCACTGTGATTCCGCCTCAGTGGATCTGATAACAGATGGCTACCAAATGACTAACGGGTGGCTGTCCTGTGCAGTGTGGATACACTGGACTCAGAGATGAATCACGTCCTGGATGGGAGAGTGGGGCAGTGATAGATCTTATCACGTTACTCAGAATGGCGCACAATTTAAAGCTTATGAATGGTTTATTCCTGTGATTTTTCCACTTAATACTTTTGGGCCACAGTTGACTACAGGTAGGTAACTGAAACCAGGAAATCAAAACCGCAGATAAGGGAGGACTACTCTATATACCACATTTTCTTTGTCCATTTATTCATTGATAGACATTTAAATTGCTTCCTTATCTTAGCTGTTGTAAATAATGCTGCAATGAACATGGGAGTGCAGATATCTTTTTAAGATATCATGGAAACTTCCTTTGGAAACACCCAGAAGTGATATTGCTGGATCACATGGTAGTGCTATTTTTTAAGTTTTTGAGGAACTATCATGCTGCTTTCCATAGCGGCTGCACCAATTTACATTCCCACGAGGGTACCCCCCCCCCACCTCGCCCAAGGTTCTCTCCAGCATGTGTTATCTAGTCTTTTTTATAATAGCCGTTTTACAAGATGTGAAGTGATACCGTGTTTCCCCGAAAATAAGACATCCTCCGAAAATAAGACCTACGGTAGCGCATGGAAAGATAAGACATCCCCTGAAAATAAGACCTAGCGCAACTTTGGAGAAAAAAATTAATATAAGACACTGTCTTATTTTCGGGGAAACAGGGTATCTCAGTGTGGTATTGATTTACATTTCCCTAATGATCAGTGATGCTGAGCATCTTTTCACATACCTCTTGGCCATTTGTATGTTTTTCTTTGGAAAAGTGTCTGTTCAGCAGACTGATGAACCTCAGAGGGAAGGCTTGGTGGGTGGGTGGGAAGAGCTCAACCAAAGAACTTATATGCATATATGCATAACCCATTGACACAGACAATAGTCTGGTAAAGGCCTGGCGTTTGGGGAAGGAGTGAGTTCGAAGTGATGAATGGGGGCAAAAAGGGTACATCTGTATAACTTTCAACAATAAAGGTCATTTCTTAAAAAAAAAAAAAAAAACTGTTTGTTTACACCCTTTGCCTATATGGAGTCATAAGGGCTAGAATTCTGCACACGAGGCTAAGAAACTTGTTCCAAATTTCATAGACAAGAAAGTACCATTGAATGGTTTGAGGATAGAGGTAACAAGATCTGCATTTTCTTTTATAGGACATCACAGTACAAAATGTACTAGAATGGTTAAAGACTAAGTATAGAGAGATCATTAGGAAGTCATTTCAATAGTTGAGATTAGAAACAGCATGAGTTGGGCTAGATTGGTGCCAGCCAGTATGGAAAGATAGGAATAAAAGAACATTTGTTAATGTTTAATTTATTTACTTTTATCATATTACCAGTTGTCCCAGAAAAGGAATTAAAACGCAATTTTGAAAAGTGAGATCTCAGAATATGTAATATTTATCCATATTTATTTTGTATTGGCACCACACAGAAATAATTTAAAACTGGTTACTACTAGGTTATTGAAGAATAGCCAAGACTAGGAGAGGTGTTGAATGAATGAAAATGTGGTGCCATCTGCTGGCAATAGTAATGAAATATCTTTCTTTGAGTATCAAATCTAGACCATTAATTCTATCAATTGGTACAAAACCATTCCAATCTCCTAAAAATATATCCTTGTAAAACACCATGGATAGAAGAACACATTTAAAACTTTGTTTTAATGCATTTATTTAAGTGACCATTTGATAGTCTTTCCCGTCATTTGCTTCAATTCTATAGGAAATGCACAGAAATAAATTTAACACATTGAACCACTTGAAACATATTTATCAAGTCTTTCCAGATCAATATTTTTTAAAATCTGTTTTGGTCACCCCATTTTCCAGAATAGTACCTGTACATCAAGCATTGCTGGAAACCAAGATCAACAGTAATTAATATAAATGTGAGAAGTCCTGCAGATGGCTGTTTGGACTCCCTTGAAATTTATAGGGTGAATTTCCATTTTATGGCCTACTGCTGACTCAATGGCCTAAAGCAAACACCCCCAAAACCTGATAATCTTACTGTTTACTATAAACATTACCATTGATATGTCTGTTTGCATTCCTAAAAGGCAATTGTGTAGTCTAGTAAGTAAAAGCAGCTGGGTAAAGGACACTTGACAGTCCTAGTCAAGTTCACCCTGGCCTCCCCCCATAATAATTAAAATTAAAATTAATCTTGTCCTGTGTGTATCATTTGTACATCAGCTGGCCTTTCACAAAGCATGTCAAACTCAAGAGCCAACATGGGCCAAATAAACAAGGTTTAAGTTTATGTGGGCTGCAAAAAAAACCCAAAAGTTTCAATTTTCATAGAAATGTAGCTTTATTTCAATAGAGACACGCTGAAAACAAATGACTGAAATAAATGAGTAATCGCTGGCATAAAATAACAGAACATTTTAATAAAAATTAATATTTTTCTTGAACATTAACTTACCAGACACTGAATAACTGCACAAATTAATAAGCATAACACAAATAACTCTATTTCTCTTGTTCTCCAAAAGTGAAATATTTCCTGTTGCATGCACCAAACAAGTCAGTACAAGACCAATGATGTGGCAATTGGCTGCTAAAATATTCGATGCTAGTATTGGTGGAAAGAAATGGTGCACCTGCATGTAAGGTGCCTAAGGGAAATGAATGCAACATGATTGTAATAACCAGTAATTAGTGAAATTTGTAGCTCGTTATTAAAAATTATGTATAACAGGATATTGTAAAAATTAAGTTATGAAATTTTTATTAACACTTTTCTTACATACTGTTATATTGGCTGGGCCACAAAAACATTTGTTGTGGGCTGCGAGTTTGACATGCTTGCTGTAAATAATAGTTTCTCAAAAAATGTGTTCAATAACTGAATGAAGGCAAGAAATGGAGATATAATTGGTGAAAAATAGAAATAGAAAACAAGGCTCTTTGAAGTGAGGATTTTCTGGAGGCTCTTGAATATTTGGTTCAAGTGAAGCCCTCGCTGGTTTGGCTCAGTAGCTAGAGGATCTGCCTGAGGACCAAAGGGTCCTGGGTTCAATTCTAGTCAAGGGCACATATCTCAGTGGCAGGCTCCTCCCAGGCCTGGGCCCTCATCAGGGCTCCTGCAGAAGGCAACCAATTGATGTGTTTTTCTTACATTGATGTTTCTGTCTTTCCCTCTCTCTTCCACTCTGTCTAAAAATCAATGGAAAAAATATCCTGGGGAGAGAATTTTTAAAAAGAACCAAATATAGTCACTTTATAATGGAAGTGATAACAGAGGGGCTTTTAGTAACTGAATTTCTACCATGAGAAATGGAAAAATAAGAAATAGTTATGATACAAGGAAATATGAGTAGATAATTACGATAAATAATATTAAACTTTGTCTTAATCAAGGTGGCTCTATAAGCAGTTACAGTAGCTTGTGTAGTTTTGAGAGCAATTCCAAAAGAGAAATTTCTAGAATTTTGGAAATAAGTGAGTTAACTGACAGGAATCTCTTAGGTGTATCAGATATTGTTTTGCTTATATTAAAGTAAGAGGGCTACCTTCATCATACTTCATATTTCTTTGGACTACACTTGATTTAAACCACTTACACAGTCCTGCTATATCACCTCCTAGATTGACAATTAGATTAGACTTTAAGGATTCTGTATAATTAACCTCATCAACTAACTATCTTATGGATGAGAAAGAAAAATTTGAAATTCTAAACTGACTCATGACTATTTTGCTTTTACTCACACATTTTTCGAATTATAGACACAGTAGGGAAAAAAATTTTCTGTTCACTAGTAAGAAGTCAGAAGACTAGAATTTGGATCTGGTTCTCCCACTAACCAGCTACCCCATGACCAGATTCAGCCCCTCAATGGATTTGATGGTTTCTATGTTACCTTCCAGCACTGATTTCTGTGATTTTATAATACATATTTACTTTTCTATTAAACATTTCCAAATGAAATGAAAAATAATAAAGCTGTCTTGAAACTTAGAGTTGATAGTGGATCTAATGCAATGATCTTCTCCAAAATTTTCCCAAGTGAAGCAAGTTCATGCTCATGATTGAATTTGTTAAGTCTGTCTGTTTACCTGTTGGGATGATTACAAGGGATCCAGTTCACTTGAGGGTCTGGGATATCTTCCAGGTATGGGTAGATAGATTCCCTATTGAAGTTCCAGCCATAAAGACCATCTTCTGGAGTCACAATAATATGTGCACCCTGTTAAACATGAAGCTTAATTAAAATATTTCTCAAATAAACAAACAACTGAAGAGGGGCCTGCCTGCAAGAGGACCCGAGGAAATGAGTGGCTGACGAACAGCCTTCAGGTGTATTTTTTTTCCCCTTTTGATCTTATTCCTTTGCTTTCTATTCTCTTATAATTTATTTTCTTTGCCCAACCACTTGCATTTTCCAATCCTGATATCATCCTTTATTTATAACTAGAGGCCCAATGCACGAAATTTGTGCAAGAGCAGGCCTTCCTTCCCCCAGCTGTCGGCACCGGCTTCTCTCTGGCACCCAGGACCCAGCCTCCCTCACAGCCCTGGCTTTTTCCAGAAGGTCGTCGGTCTAATTAGCATATTATGCTTTTATCATTATAGATGTTTTCTTTCTTTCTTTTTTCTTTCTAAACAGGAATAGCTTTCCAGGCTGCTCACAAGTTGACACCCACTGCAGTTGTTAACTATAACCTAGCTCTTCCCCAGATCACCACCTCCCTGAACTTAGACCAACTCCTGTACCTGAATGTGTGGAATTGATTTATAACTCAAATTCTGTTTCACTTTTCCTCTGCTCCAGCCTTCCCTGCTGTATACCTTGCAAACATGATTCCTGCTTCTCAGGAGGGAGCCTATATGTACAACCTGGGCACCTTCAGGCGGGAGAGTCACCCTGGAAGCTGATTTTGTATCTAAAAGAATGTGTATTGATAGATATGTTATATGTATATACCTGTGACTTTCATGACATTGCACATATCTATCAATAACTGAGTTATGAATATCTTATTTAAACCACATAATTAACCTTAAACCTTTCATTTAACTGAAGGACTTACTGTGCATTAGCATATATACTTTTTTTACAAATTGGTAGTTATAGAATAGTCTCAAAGATGTAAATTATAGTGTAGAGAATATAGTCAATGATATCATAATCACTATGTATGGGAACTTGAAATATTGGGAGGGACCACTCTGTAAAGTACATGATTTCCTAACAATTATGCTGTACACCTGAAACTAATACAAATTTATTTATAAAAAATAAAACATTTTTTATTTTTTATTTATAAAAAATAAATAAAATAAATATGTTTTATTTATAAAAAATAAAACAAAAAATAAATAAATAAATATGTTTTATTTATAAAAAATAAAACAATAAAAAATATATACTATTATCTAATTACAACAAAGTATGAAGTATATAATAGATAGCTTTATTTGGATTGTATACATATATAAAACACACATTAGCACATATAAATATTATGAAGTATCTTGTCATTAGAATGAAGCTTGAAGTATATAATACATATGGTTAAGTAGTTTGCAACTTAAGCTTGTTTTGGTGTTATAAACTAACCCAAATCCCTGCACACCCTTAAGAGAACAAGGTGCACCAAGGCCACTGATACTCTAAAAATAGCACATGACCCCTGACCCATTTATCCTCCACCCTCCATCTGTAGCAGAAAAGAGCAACAAAGTCCTTGAACTTACAGCAAGTTTCTCAAAGGAGTGCTGCCCCTGAATGATAACCAAGCCGTTCTTTTCTTATATTTGTCTCACTATTAGAGAAGTAACAATGACCCTTTTCTAATAATTTTTGGAAAACAAAAGTTCTTGGCTACCCTGACATATATGTCTTCACCTACCTTAATGTTAGAGGCAGAAATATTACTCATGCTCTGTTATCTGTGATTGTTCTGTTCAAATTAGAGAAAGCACATTCTAACCAGGCTGAGAGTAGTAAACCCCGGGACATGGGAGTCAATTCAGGAATGCAGCCCACTCTCCTTTCACTGAGAACCTCCTATTATCTGGGAAAGATTAACAACCTTGTTGTTGAAGCAATGAAATCCCGGAAGCACCCTGCCCACTAGTCCACATTGCCAGTAATCTGTAACCATTTTTCCCATTTTTATTCCATTTGCCTACTCCCCAACACCTATAATTCCCAATTTTATTCCTTTTTCCCACTTTCCCATTGTCCTTCTCCCCCATAACTGCTGGTTTATGGAAGGGTGCTGTGTGGATGACTGCTGCTCTCCCACACTGCCGGCAGTATTGGAATAAACAGTCCTTTTCTGAACCTCAGAGTGCGAATATGTATGTTTGTCGCTTCCCGCCCACCTGATTTCTGCCGCAACAAACCCTTTGTCTGCTTAATTGGCTCAAGTAGTTGCAGGCAGCCCAAACCCAGTAATTGTCCGGTTTCATTAACACATGCAAACACAGACTCGGACATACATTTAATTGACCCTGGTAATGGACTCTGTCTCTTGGGACCCCACTCTCTCTCCACATAGAAGCCAGCACATTCAAGAGGAGGTACCTGTTTTGCTGCTGAGGTGATTGCTCCCTCCAAAAGGTCCAGATTTCTGCTCATTAGCCCCAATGCCATTTCACGGGGCACTGGTGTGAGGGTGACATTCGGCAAAATCACTGCATGCTCATAAACAGCTGCAATAAAGGTGTCCAGGGAGCTGGCTTTTAAGACACAGAAAACTGAAATTGCCACACAAGCCAGCAGCTGAGAAAAAATCATGCTGAAGTCCAAGGACTGTGGAAAAACAGAGCAAGCCCTAGTGTTTATAGAGAGAAATTAAAATGAAGCACGTGGTTCTCAGAACTTAGTGCTTTAAAGACAAATCACAACATCTGGCGTTAAAAAAAAAAAAAACACTACAAAACATGATGGCTTCACATCATAGCCATAATGTAAACACACTCTGTATAACACTCCTTACTGCATCTGAGGGCTGTGAGAACAGGATTACGCAGGCTTCTTGCTGTGTGGACAGCTATCTTCTCCCCAGGTGCAAAGTCCAAACTTTCTGTTTGTAAAAACTCCGGTCATCAGATTTACTGCCCAGCCTACTACAGGATGTCTTCATCTTAAGTAATTTCATCTAAAACGATCCCATTTCCAAATAAGGTCACATTCTAAAGTTCTGCCACGTAGGAATTCTTAGAATTCATGCTTTAGAACTTTAGAGGTGTAAATAATTTGAAGACTAAATAGCTTTGCCATTTTGATAGCAGTATCACTATCAGAATATGAATATCTAAATGCTAAACTTTATTCACTTTAGTTGCTTCAAAATAGAGAAGCCAGGACAAAGAAGAATACAAAAGGGTCATTGCTATATAAAAATTGCCTTAAGCCGAGGCCGATTTGGCTCAGTGGTAGAGCGTCGGTCTCTGGACTGAAGGGTCCCGGGTTCGATTCCGGTCAGGGGCATGTACCTTGGTTGCGGGCACATCCCCAGTGGGGGGTGTGCAAGAGGCAGCTGATCGATGATTCTCTCTCATCGATGTTTCTGACTCTCTATTCCTCTCTCTTCCTCTCTGTAAAAATTCAATAAAATATATTTTTTTAAAAATTGCCTTAAGATTTAGTGATTTAGCAAACATGTGTGATCTCCTATTTTCTGTGGGTCCAGAATCTGGGCCGGGGTAGCTGGGTGCCTCTTGCACAAGACTGAAATCAGGCTGGGGCCTGGGCTGCAGTTATCCCAAAGCTTAGCTGGGAAAGATTCACTTCCAAGCTCCAGGCTCATATACATGGCTGGTGGCAAGCCTCAGGTCCCCATCGACTGTTGCCCAGAGATGTGAATTCCTTGCTTCAGGTCTTGCTCACACTGTTGTTTCTGGCTGCCCTAAGAGCCAGAGAGCAAGAGAATCCTCCCAGGATAGAAGCCGAAGTCTCTTAGTTAATCTAATGTGGGGTATCACCTCATCACATCAGTTGTATTTTATTCATTAAAAGCAAAAACAGATCTAGAGACAGAGAAGCATTGATCAGATGCTCAAACCTCAGAGGAAAGGTAGGGGAGGGGGAGAGATCAACCAAAAGACTTTTATGCACGCATATAAGCATAACCAATGGACACAGACACCAGGGGGGTGAGGGCATGTATGGCAATTGGGGGGGGGGGCAATGGAGGAATATGGACACATATGTAATACCTTAATCAGTAAGAAATTAATAAAAATTAAAAAGTCAGTAAGTCCAGCCCACACTTGACACAAGGTCATACATGAATGAGGCAGAGATCTTAGAGGCTGCTGACCATAGGGTTACTAGGGAAGGAGAAACAATGACAAGGAGAGTAAGAGTAAGGACTAAAGTGAGAAACAGAACTAGTTGGAAGAAAGCATAATAGAAAATGGGGAGGGGGATGCTTAAAGATTTTGATATAAAATAATTAGGCAAATTTTGTTTCAGTTGCAAATTAAGTATAATTTTTTTATATTTACAGAACTATTTATGCTTATCCACTTTATTTATATATTTTATTTTGGATGGTGTTACTATAGTTCAATTTGCAGATGGATATGTCTGAGGTTTTTGCTTCAGTACTATAATAAATTTATTCTGTGGCTACCAAGGTAATCAAGAGGCTGTGACTGCCCCGCCCTCCTCAGTCTATGGCAAACCCTAGCTCCCTCTACTTGCTGACCTGCTTTTGGTTGTCCATTCCCAGATGGTTGGGAATCCACATACTTCACAGTGAGACGTAATGTGTACATAACAATTTATGAAAGGAAGTTCCGGAATAAAAGCTGAAACTGCCATGAGCTATAAAGAGGTTTAAAAAATTTGTTTTTTGTTATTTAAAAAAAAAATTGTTTGATGTTATTAAATTAAAATTATAGCAAGAAGCTCCCATTGGTATCCAGTCTGACATATAAAGAGCTTGAAAGTTGCCTTTCCCATCTTCACAAGAAAAAAAGCTGAACTGAAAAAATCATTTTTCTTAGATCCAGCAGAGAACTGAGGTCACAAGATAAACTTTGCCCCAAAATGAGAGAGAGGCTTACCTGGAGCAGAAGTCCACTGTGGGAGCCAGCACTGATGTTGACATAAAAATGTCCAAACCTGTAGGGGATTTTTCTGCGTTTATTTGAGCCAAACCTGATGACAATTGCCAGGAAGCAAGATCTCAAATGCTTGGGTGAATGACAGCTTTGTAAGTTTTCCTCTCAAGCATTTGGAATTAAGGAGGGACTAAAAGGAAGGTGACGTGAAGGCAGGAGAAAGCAAGGCAGGGATTGGGTTACAGGAGGGTTAATAAGATCATGTGCTCTCTGGAGGGTGGTTTTGCTTATGGCCTTCTGGGCATGTCCTAGCCAAGTCTGAAAGGAGGCATTTCAAAGATGTGCTAACCTAGATTCGCAGCAACAGTGGGCAGGTCTTGCTTAAGGTCGGGCATGGCTACTCACCATGACCTGTCCAATTAGGAATTTAAGATTGTCCTGGGAGGTTACTTTCCACAGAACCCCTTTTTCGTCCACATTGGTATGACCACTTCAACTGTCCTTGATGAATTGCTAGAGGCTCAGAGTGGATTAAACTTCAGAGTCAAAAAATGAGGGGAATTTAGTGTTAGGAAAATGCTCACACTTTTGTGAGTTTTACCTCCAAGAACCCCCAACAGATTCTCTGGGCAAACAATTGAGGAAAACAAAACAAAACACCTCCGGCCTCACGCTTCCTAAAGAAGGAAGGGAAATAAACCACTTTGAAATAAGCTCTGAGCATTTTGTTCTCCTTCTCAAAATCCTGCCCTTAAGGGAAACTATTTGCAGGATCCTAACCAATCTGGGGAAAAGAAATGTCTTAAAATTTGAAACCTGCTGGCCTTCCAGTATCAAGGGGGAAAGTAGAACTTGTGAAGGTCACAGTCCAGGGGCACTGGCTCACTTCAAAACAGCCTTAATCATTGGACTATGTCTCACCACCACCACCCCCCACCTCTCCGCCGCTGCCCCCTCTCCCCCTGGAGGGGGATTAGGTGAGAAAATGGCTCTAAACTGGCCTGCTTTGGCTCACTAAGTCAGAGAAAGGGGGGTCCTGGGGACAGAATCAGGGGGTTTGCTTGGGATGAAATGTCACTGTCCATTGCTGCCCTGATTGCAAGGCTTGTGGGGTCCCTTAAAGTTTAGGAGATGCATGTATGTGGGGGGAGGTGAGAGAGAGGGGTAAGGTGTAGGTGTATTCATGGGAGGGCTAGCAAATGCTGGGACTTTCATTTTGGAGGGTTATAAAGGCTGGACGTTTAACCCAGCTGGCCTGGTTCAGTGGCTGAGCTTCGACCAACGAATTGAACCAGGTCACAGTTCGTTTCCCAATCAGGGCACATGCCCCAATTGCAGGTTCAATCCCCAGTGTGCCGATCAATGATTCTCTCTCAACATTGATGTTTCTGTTTTTCTCTCCCTCTTTCTTCCTCTCTGAAATAAATAAAAATATATTTTAAAAATAATTTTAAAATGGTGGATTTGTAAGAGAGGATCTCAATGGGATATTCATCAGCTTTATGTTGATGTACCAAAATTAGGTTTATTCTCTTAACCTCATCTGTCCTTGAATGTGGCTGGTAAAAGGCACTAACTGGATCTCTGCTATCTCCCTTGAGTAGGATGATTTAAGCTACTTACCTTCTGGTTGGGGAGTAGGAGAAGTGCAAACCATTTACTCTTTTCAAATGTCTTTGGTTTAGGGAAAGATAGGATTTACTGGATGGGTGCAGACTGCTCGGCAACTAGATTTTCTACATGGCTGCAAACTGCTGTTTAACTGTCTGCCTCAGTTTCCCTGTTCCACTTGTCCTGGTTTACTAACCTATCTCGAAAGCAGCGGCCGCCTGGGAGATACAGACTCAGGTAGCAACCTAAATTGCATTCCCCAAGACGTAGGGGAGGACTCCTTTTATACATTCCAGCCCATGTTGCAATTAGATCTGTTTTATGTAAATGAGGTATTCAAATTCTGCAGCTTTTATTGGACAGGGCAGGTCCCAATCTATGGATAGAAGGATAAAACGAGGGTTTCCCTGCAGTGGTTGACTCAGACAGGGTAAACAAGTGGGGATAGTATGGAAAGCTGAGAGTTCCGTCTGAGGTTCTTCTGGGTATACAGAGGATATGAGGTGCTCCTGTCAGCAACTCACTGGCTCTTTTTGTTTTTGTTTTTAATGAAATCTTTATTGTTGAACGTATTACATATGTCCTCCTTCTTCCCCCCCCCCCCATTGACCTCTTCTATGTGCCCCTCGCCATGTGCCTACCCTCTCCCCAGGTCTTCACCACCCTATTGTCTGTGTCCATGGGTTATGCATATATGCATACAAGTTTTTTGGGTTGATCACTTTCCACCCACTCTCCCCTATCTTCCCTCTGGCTCTTATTATTTATAAAATTTGGGCCCTCAGCCTGGTCGGTGTTGCTCAGTGACTGAGCTTCAACCCAAGAACCAGGAGGTCATGGTTGGATTCCTTGTGAGGGCACATGCCTGGGTTTCCAGCTCAGTTCCTAATAGGGGGCATGCAGGAAGCAGCCAATCAATTATTGATGTCTCTATCTCTCTGTCCCTCTCCCTTCCTCTCTCTCTAAAAATCAATAAAGAGCCGAAACTGGTTTGGCTCAGTGGATAGAGCATCGGTCTGAGGACTGAAGGGTCCCAGGTTCGATTCCAATCTTGGTTGAGGCACATCCCCAGTAGGGGGTGTGCAAGAGGCAACTGGTCAGTGTTTCTCTCTCATGACGTTTCTAGCTCTCTATCCCTCTCTCTTCCTCTCTGTGAAAAATCAATAAAATATATTTTAAAAAATCAATAAAGACATATTTAAAAAAAAAAATTGGGACCCAAGAAAAGTCCATCTCAGCAAATTAATTCATTTTCAGGGTTCACATCAAATGAATGATAATCCTCTGGGTCCACAAGGTTAATACTTAATGGCTAGAACAGTGTCAAATTTTTTTTATTGATATTAATCTACGTGATAGAGCTGTTTACATTATAACTGTATGGGTTCAGAATGAGTCACCCCAAGATGTGCCACTCTGGCACACAGATTATTTCAGGCTGAAAGCTATTGAAACCCAGACAGCTCAGGAAAGACTTTTGATCTTCCTGCTGTAGGCAGTGAGACAGATAGGAGCAGAGCAAGGACTCTGGGCCAGGTACAGAAGATCAGGAGGTGGAAAGGCCTGTGTGCCTAGCAACGGACAATCAATTGTACGGTGGGACCTTGCCCCCATGGTGACCTTTCCTCCCCTAGCAGATCTCTGGTCATGTGGCTTGGCCCCCCTGACCTTTCCTCTCTAGAGATAGCATCTTTACCTCTGTATTTCTACTCCAGGACAAGATAAGCAACAAAACCAGCCAAGGCTGACATTCGGGCCAGCTGCACTGAGTAATGACCTCCTGCCCTGGTGCAGGCCAATCAGTCATTGTGATAAGCAGAACGGTGAGCCAAGGAGTTTTCCCTGGGTCATGTCTCATGACGCTGAAACATGACCTACTCAGCCCCGAAGATTTAGGTGTGGAGATTTTATTATAAGCAGATTCAGACTTCCTGCAAGGGAAGAGGGACCCAATAATGGGCTTTCCATTAAAGCCTTATAGTCCTGGGGTATATATTTGCTACCAGCCTGCTCGATGTCTACTTGATTGATTCCCTCATTGTTCTTTGCCCAGCAATCGACCTAAACTTTTTCTGTTCCTGTGCTGACCTTTTTCTGTTTCTATGTGTTCATACATCTTGTTTATTTGTGTTTCCTGTTTCTATGTGTTCGTATATCTTGTTTTCTGCAAACCTCCCTTGGTTTCCCATGCCTCCAGCTTTGAGTCCATAAACATTTTATTATTTCTGCTTGGTTGGTTCCTGTGGTTAGGCTGGCTCAAACTGCCATGTCTGCCCCTGCCTATGTTTCACCTGCCTTTGTTTCCCACTGGACCCCTTCCCTGTCTGCCTGCATTTCAAGCTAACGCCTTTCAATTGGAGATCACAACCCTGAAAGGACACGCCTGGGAAACTGCTGAATGGCCCATTAAGATCTTTCCCTAGGACCTCCCCTGAAATCTTTACCCTTAAAACCTTATAGTTTGGGCTGGACTTTGAAATCTTTTTAGCCAAACCCAAGTACTAAGTTTGCTGAATCCAGTTTGATCTGACCCCACTGGTCAGACACATGGTGCCTTTCCTGTCACTTTACAACATTTCCCCTTATTTCTTAAAATAATTTAGACCAAGGACTTGCTCCAGGAAGGGAACTATCATCATAGATGACTATATCTATACTAATAATAGAGGAATATGCAAATTGTCTATGACACTGTCACAGTAATGGCTGAACAGCAGGCTGTGTGGGGTAACTAGGCTAGCAGGGGGATTAGTGAGGGACAACCAAATGACTGAATAAGCAGGCTGCATGGGGTGATCAGGCCAGCAAGGGGGCAGTTGGGGGTGACCAGGCTGATGGGGGGGGGTCAGTTAGGGGCAACCAGGCAGATGGGGGGCAGTTGGGAGTGACCAGGCCGATAGGGGGTGGGAGGTATGGAGCGGGGGGTGGGGGGTGACCAGCAGGCAGAGGCAGTTAGGGGTGATCAGGCAGGCAGGTAGGTAAAGCAGTTAGGTGAGCAGTTAAGAGTCAGTGGTCCTGGATTGTGAGAGGGATGTCCAACTGCCAGCTTAGGCCCAATCCGGGCCTAAGCCAGCAGGCAGTTGGACATCCCCTGAGGGGTCCTGGATTGGAGAGAATACAGGCTGGGCTGAGTGAATTTCATGTACCTGGCCTCTAGTTTTAATATAAACTAGATAGAATTGACTGAAGGAACCTAGCTAAGTCCATCTGCTCAAAGTCCTCTTTGTGACCCACTGTTTCAAGATGGCTTAATATTGTACACAATAACTCTTCATATCCCCATGAATTGCCTTATCTATCCCTCCTTAGCTCTAATTGGCATATCTATCTCATTTTGCTTTATGTCTTTGGAGTTTTCATGCTTATGTAAATTTCCTATGTACATTTATTAAAACTTGATTCTTGTCTGGCCCACGTGGCTCAGTAATTGAGTGTCAACCTATGAACCAGGAGGTCCTGGTTCAACTCCCAGGAAGAGCAGAGCAAATGCCTGGGTTGTGGGCTTGATACCCAGTGTAGGGTGTTCAGGAGGCAGCTGATCAATAAATTTCTCTCATCATTGGTGTTTCTATCTTTCCCTCTCCCTTCCTCTCTAAAGTCAATAAAAATAAACAAACAAACAAACAAACAAATAAATACTTGACTATCTCCTATTAATATACTGTCTGTCTTAAATTATTTGAACAGTTTGAGGGCTCAGAAACCTCATTTCTTTAACATGATCCTTTCTGTCCACATCTACTCCTTTCCTTAATTATTAAGTCAATAGGCCATCAGATTGTGGTAAGCATCAAACTATCTTAAGAATCAGTCTGTAGGTATGTTGACCACAGAAACAGTGTTGTCAAGCTAAAGTTAACATCTTGACTTAAATTGTGTTTCAGCCACAAGCCTATGAATGCTAACCAACCCTGCTGATCACATATTCACAAACCAGACAGAACCAATCATCAACTACACCTACCCTGGCCCCAACCCATCAGTAGAGACTACACTCCCAACTCCTTTAGCCACCATAATGAATGATTTCTCCCCTATATAACACATCCCCTGGACGGCACCGGGAAGCCAGGCTTTTGAGCACTATTTTACTTGTGACTCTGGGCTTGGTGTCATTTCCTCAACTAATAAGCCCTTACTTTCTTAGCTGCAAACTCCTGTTTCTCTTTGATTGGACTTTGATGCGTGTAGGCAAATAGTCTCCTTTGATCTGTAACACCAGCCAGAAAAACTAAGCTAGAAAGAGAAAAGTTTCCCCATCCCCAACATAAACAATACATACATTTGCCGTGGGACTCAAAACAACTATTTTTATTTTGTTCTCTTTGGTTTTTAATATAAAGTCTCTAATTATTATGATGCAGCCTGAACTGCTTCTCATGAAAAAAAAAAGTTATTTTGCATACCAATAAAATATACTCTATTGCCTCAGAAATACCAATTGAATGGCTTCATTTTTCAAAGGAAGATCTTTGTTCACACATCTATTGTGTTTGTTTTTTTTAAATTCCTTTGTTGTTTCAACAAATTTATAACATCTCTTATAAACAGACACTAAGGGGTCTCTCTCTCTTTTTTTGTCTTTTCCCTTTCTTTTCCAGGCAAATCCTGAAAGGGAGGCGGTAAAGGGGGATCATTGTGATTTCCCTGGGCCTTGCCCTAAGCGTGGAGGGTCCTTTTCGAACACTCTTCCATACAGGGCCATGACTAAGATAGGCAAAGGGGCTCCACTTCTGCTCTGCAGACGTCCATCTCTTGAAACCTGATCAGAGAAAGCAAAGGATTAATTCCCAGGCAGAGCTTGGTTTCCAGCCCTCGTGCCTTTCTGACAGTGTCATTCTAAAAGCAGCATAAAATAGCAAAATCGTGCAGGATTCGGTGTCAGAAGACCCACGTTTCAGATCCAGAGGTCTAATAGCAAAGGAACGTTGGGTAAAAATGTAGCAAATAAATCTATTGTACAGGAGTTAAATAAGATAATGTATAAAAAAAAGAGTTCTATTAACTCATAAAACACTACAGAAAGTATTAATTATTACTATCATTATTACAACTTCTCAAAAGAACACACCCATGAAGTAAGTTGTGAAATTGGATGCAAAGAAATGTAGACTTGGAGAAGTCTGAGGCTAACTTCCCCGCTGCAGGCTCAAGATCAATCATCCCACATAGGAAGAAAAGAAAAAAGAAAGAAGTTATGGATGTCTTATTTAATGTATTTATCTTGGACCAATGGTTCTCAACCTTTCTAATGCCTCGACCCTTTAATACAGTTCCTCATGTTATAGTGAGCCCCAACCGTAAAATTATTTTTATTGCTACTTCATAACTATAATTTTGCTATTGTTATGAATTGTACTGTAAATATCTATGTTTTCCAATGGTCTTAGGCTCTACAGCAGCGGTTCTCAACCGTGGGTCACGACTCACTGTTGAGAACCGCTAGCAGGGTCACCTAAGACAATTGGAAAACACAGATATTTTCATTATGATTCATAACAGTAGCAAAATTACAGTTATGAAGTAGCAACAAAAATAATTTTATGGTTGGGGGTCACCACAATATCAGGAACTGTATTAAAGGGTCTTGGCATTAGAAAGGTTGAGAACCGGTGTCTTGGGCTTTTTACACCATGCAAATAAGGAGAACGTTAGTTGCCAGCCACCATCCACAATCAATATTTTTATTTCTCCATAACCTTATGGTTGCCTTGGATCTCAAAATCATATTTATGTAGAACAATGAACGCCAAATTATCCATTATAGCATACAGACCATCTAGAACCACACTTGTCTTTCATATCATAGCTTCCACATGTTTTGAAAGGGTTGCTTGTATAATGGGAACCGCAATATTGCAATAATGACCCATTACTTTAAAGATTTCATTATGCCAGTCTACCCATTCTATTCAAAGAAATTTATCATCCTGAAAACCTCCTACCTCATAATGTCTTTCAGGGGCAAGCTGACTCCCACTTAGAATGAGCTGTGGGAAAACATAACTTGTTCCAAATGTGCCACTGAGAGCGAATTCCTCAAACTTGGTAAAAGCTGACCCCACGGGCTCCCCACAAGTTCTCAGGTCAGTGGTTTGACACTTCAGTAATGTGCATATCTGTGTAGGCAAAGAAAAAGGAAGTGGTTAGCAATCTTGTAAGTATTTTCTCAGCAAAAAAAGCACAATTTTCAAGGGACAGAGGAATATATGTTAGGTTGGTTGCCTCTTATGCAGTTTTTCAAATTACAGGTCATAATCTGTTAGTGAATCCTAAAATCAACTTAATGGGTCAGAATTAGCTCTTTTTTTTTTTTTTTCAACAAAGCTGAATGAAATAGATTATAATCTTAAAAATTAGAGTATTTAAAATTGCACATAAGTATAGCATTTCTAATTTGAATTATTTTATAAATGTTTGTTTCAATTAAATATTTCATATTTAGTAACAATTTCCATGTAGCCACACATCTTGATTGCCCTGGGTCAGGATGTGAAATGAACTTCTTACTCTGGACTCTAGTAAAGACACTTTTAAAAATACTGCTTTAAAGTGATGTGACAAAAAAAAGAAAATCCATGAAATTTGCATCTTTAAAATTTGAACCTAGCCTGCTGAGAACTAATTCTTCTGTTCTTGAGTGCAATGATGGCCTAGAAGAAAAATGAATAAAGAAGCCATTCTAACATATATAAGCATCTCTACCTGTAAGTAATATTGGCCTTCGACTGTGTGCAGTCCATCAAAAGCTCCTAGTGCATACACCTCATCTGTTCGCTTCTCAGACATCTTGTAAGTCAAGTGACAACATAGGTCTTTCTGGCACACTGTGTAATTTCCTGCATTTCTCTTAAGCTCGGTAAAAGTGAACTCATCAAAATAGATCATCCCTGGGAAATCCAACTGCTCAGACAAGAATGGCTTGATGCCTTTGGCATAAGCACTCCAGTCAACAGGTGCAGGGTAGGTGGGTTCATTTCGGGGCCTGGACTTCAATTCTGAGAGCATCAGCTGGCCACTCTCTGTTTCCATGTCATAGTGATACACCTTGACTGCTTCCGGAGCGTAGATTCCACTTCCTATGGGTGACATAAAGAAACATAAATATTGTGTCCAAATTTTGCATTGTGACAAACTAATAAAATCATTCCCATAAGAAATTAAATACAAACTTATGAAAGCAAAGGATTGTCAAGATAGGCAAGGAGATAGCTGTTACATTGGAATAATTTGACTCTGCGATTGCTTTCACTGAAATTGTCATTTGACTTGGATGGCTTCTGTTTGTTTGTGTTTTTTTGTTGTTGTTGTTGTTTTAACTTAAGCTACTTTTTATTTTTTTAGCCAATTCAAAAATAAACTAGAAAATTCCCAAAACATGAAGAATAAGTTCAGCTTTCCACTGACCTACCTAATTTATTTGTTTGAAATTCTTTAGCTGGATCAATAAGTACAAACCTGCCTTACCTTGAACACAGATACTACATGGTGGGGCAAAAGTAAGTTTACAATTGTGAAAATGTGAAATAGTTTATTCTTGTACTAGAGACCTGATGAGCAAAATTTGTACAAGAATAGGCCTTCCTTTCCCTGGCTGCTGGCACCGGCTTCCCTCTGGCACCTGAAACCAGAATTCCCTCAGAGCCCAGGCTTTTTCCAGAAAGACTTTTGGTCTGATTAGCATATTATGCTTTTGTTATTATAGATTACTGTTTATTAATTTCTAGGGGCCCAGTGCACGAATTTGTGCATCTTGAAAGGAACTGTGGGCCATGAGGCAGCAGTGGGCACAGGGGTGGGTTTCAGTCCATCTTCCATGCCCCCGCCCAGCCCCTCCCACCGCAGCCCTGGGTCCCCTGTCTGCCAGCAGCCCTGGTCCTGCCTTTGCTGTTCCCACATGCTGATGGCACCATCCCTGCTCACACCCGCTGACAGCGTGGAGCAATTGGGGCCCGTGCCAGCAGCAGGTGCGAGCAGGGCTGGCGCCTTCAGCAGGTACAGGTGTAAGTGGCGGCTGCTGCCCCAATCACCCCTCAGGAGCAGGGGGAGGTGGAGAAGCCCTCAGGGGAGATCACGGTCAGCAGCTGCTGCTCACACCCACTGATGGCACCAAGGGATCAGGACCAGCACCGGACACCACTAGCCAGTGCCAGTGGCGGCTTCACTGCTGGCAGCAGGTGAGAGTGGTAGCTCTGGTGCCTGCAGCAGGCACAAGTGAGCCTGGAGCCAGTAGTGGATGTGAGTGGCGGCTGCCAGCCCAATCACTCAGGAGCAGAAAGAGGTGGAGAAGCTTTAAGGGATAATCAGAGCCAGCAGCTGCCACTCGCACCCCCTGACAGTGCCCAGAGATCAGGGCCAACGCTGGGTGCTGGCAGTGGGCGTGAGCAGCGGCTCTGGCCCTAGCAATGAGCATAAATGCTATCTGGGACTGTGGTATGTGGGAACAAATAATTTTCAGTAACCACCAGAGGCTTACCCCGATGACAGCAACTGGCACCCCGCCTTTGTCTGGTGCTCCTGCTCACCTCCTCCACCATCCCACCATGGCTGATGCTTTCCATGTTCCACACTCTTCCGCCTGCTGCCTATGCCTGCCATGTACCAATGTGTCCCCTGATGGTCAGCGCAGGTCATAGCAACCAGCTGTTTGGTTGTTCCACTGTTCAGTCTATTTGCATATTAGCCTTTTATTATATAAGATTGTATTATTTTTCCATGGGAATAACAATAAACCTATTTTTTCCCTGCCCTGTATAAAGGATAAACTCTAAAAGCCTGATCAAGTCTACAGTGAATTTTTTCACCTGAACAGAATTTATTTCAGTATCACTAATGGACCATGGTTGCAAAGTTCTTTAGATCTGGCTTTGGTTTTTTATGTGACTTGACTTCTCTGTAATTCCAATCTCCCCTCATGTGAAATTGAGATAATAAGGTTTGCATCGTTCTTTACTCACAGAGATAATGTTCCATTTAAGGAATGTTGGTATAGAAAACCTGTGGAATTATTCATTTTATGACATTAGAGTTAATAAAATAATCATTAAAGAAAAGTGTGTCTTAAAAAAATCAATGAAGACCTCCTAAGACTGTCACTGCCACTTAGGTGAGTGACAGGTGTGAGTTACCTGTCATGTGCATGCTGGTGTTGTGGGTATTGGCTGCAAGCAGGTTGACTCCCATGGCCCTGGCCCAGGCAGAGTGGAAGGGAACAGCCGAGAGGAGGGGCAGCGTGTTGTACCAGGCTGTGGGGTAGAGAACGCTGTCAACTTGAAACTTGTTTACCAGCACCACCGCTGGGTCATGGGAAAAAATGTCAAAGCAAGTGAAAATGCCAAACTTCCCAAAAGGAGTGTCAAAGGTCACAAATTCGGAGTCCTTCGGAAAATCAAATTGAATTTCAGGTGCAAAAAGGTTGTACTGTTATCAATAAACAAACAAGGAGAAAATTAGTCAGAAAACTGCCAAATCGAGGTGATCAATATTCATAAAATCTTTCTCCCATGTATGCTGGGAGAAACATACATGGGAGAAACATATTACACCTAAATATGTCTATATTATAACAAGTATACCATGTCTGTGAGTTTTCTCACTGTGACATTAATAAGAAGCCAATTTTCCTACAACCAACAAATCAAACAATGAAAGTATAACAATGGCATTTAAAAGGTGAATATTTCTGTCTTAAAATCATAGGCTGAATTTTAAAATATGACAAATTCCCGACTGTTGTTTTCCACTGTATATACCAACAGCACTGCCCATGCAAAGTCTGACACATGCCTCCCTGTGATACTGCTGGGTTTATGTAAGTGAGTAGGTTTAAAATTAATTTAGACAATGTAATATCTAACCCTTCTTAGTTAGTAAGCCATTCATAATTTTTCAGCCTGATTATTGCTCCAAAACTCTGCCTCGCCTGGGCTCAAGGGTGCAGCACATGTTTTGCTCAGGTTTTGATGTGGCCTGATTGTGCACATGTGTGTTCTCTCCCTGCTGTGGCAGCCTGCCCTCTGTCTCATAGGAAAGGTTGTGATCTAATTGGAGCCAAGGCATGATGGGTTTTTTGCAGGGTTTCTTAGTGAGAGAAATACATTCTCTTTTGAATGTTGTTGCTATAAGGATTCGAGCCTGATGTTGAGTAGCATTGAAGCTTCTAAAAGACAAAAAATAAAACTCTAGCAAGGGACTAAGAGTGCTGGAGAGATGGATGACTTTTTTTTTGCTTTTGCAGACAGTCTTCATATGAAACTAGATCTCCCCTTTCTATGATTTCTGTGTTTTCAGGTACATAGCAAGGAAATTCTGTTTTGTTTGTTTGTTTAAGGAGGAATTAAGCTAATTTCAGTTGGGATTTTCTAGTATTGCAATAAAAAAAAAGTTAAAATGGAATGAATGGCTAAAGCTTAATACTCAATGTTAACAAATTGGGCCAAAAAGCTAATTCCAGTATTAAATCGTGCATAAAACAGAGCATTTCTCCTTCTTCCTCACAGAATATTAAAAACTTTGTGAAGCTAATTTAACCTCAGAACCCATATATAAAACTAAAGTAAATTAAATATTTTTCAACTAAAACGTAATAATTAAGAAACATATTCATAGTTCTCTCACCTACATTCAGAAGACAAGTATACATGCATGCCACAAACAAACAGAAGAAGTGAATCAAGTTTTGCTGAGACACAAGTAATTCTCACCTTATGGTAGCGTGCCACCAGCTTTCCTTGCGAGTCAAACACCACATCAGTGTTGTATTGGTATCTCCCATCTGAGGGACACTTAGGGTCACTGGCATCACATGGTTTCTTGTCCCCAATATTTGCCACAACGTAGATAGAGTTGTCCTTGGCCAGGCAGCTGAGCCTTTCTTGCACTGGGGCATAGCCAAACCTAATTCAATATATATTGTTTTAAACTTTCTATTATTTTATCAATTTCTGAACTTTCAAAGTGATACTTTATTTGCCTGTTACATCTATAACACAAGAGCTCTAGGTTTAGAATCAACTGAAAAGATTAAGAAACATGCAATATAAATTTCATCTTTATCAAAGCTAACCACTTTTATTGTGCCAAACTCCAGATTGCAGAGAGAGGGAAGCACAGAAAAAATGGTGGAGGAAAAAGAGAAGCACACTTTTGCTTATAATGTACTCCCAGGAAGGCAAACGAAGGGCTTGAAATTTAACAGACTCTTCTGATGGGGGGGACCTTTTCTGTCATCTAAGCCATAGTCTTACTAGGAGGCGGTAAATATCGATAGCTGGCCCTGTTTAAATCATTTTCCGCAGGGGGGGCAAAAAAAAAATCAATAAAATATATTAAAATAAATAAATAAATAAATAAATAAATAAATAAATAAAAATTAAAAAAATAAAAAAAGAAGTAATGTTGCTTGTGAATTCAGATTTTATGGCCACTGTGTAGCAAATTATTATAGCTATCCCTCATATAAAATAAAAATTTTAAATATAAAAAAATTAAAAAAAATAAAAATAAATAAATCATTTTCTGCAGAGAACAAATGCAGTATTTTGTACTGGAATACACACACACACACACACACACACACACACATATATAAAATGAAAGAAAAGAAAGGACCAAGAAAAAAGCACTTCATTATTCTGACTCAGTTTCTTCAATCTGTCAATGCAAACTTTAAGATAAATACAGACTGTAGAATTGCTTTTCAAAGTAATGTCAAAGCCATTCATTCACATTGGCATTAACTATCTAGGATATTAATCCTGGAAATGAGAAGGAACTGAGATGATGAAGTAGGTGGGTGACAGCTGGCCTCATCTACTTGGAAGGCTCTAATTTGGAGATAAGTCATAAACATTAACATACTATAGAGGTGACACAAAGACCAAAAAAAGTTGTAGAGAGATTTCAGCAGAAAATAAAATACAAAATATTTAGCATTCAGAACGCACTGTCAAAGAGGTGGATTCAGGCATTTAGAGGACATTCAGTTAGCATGGACAATCGAAGTGGCCGCTCTGAGCTCTGGCCATGCTAATTACCAGTTGTGAGATTGTAAACCCCCTTTATCCTCATCTTTTAAATGGGAACAGTTCCTGCTACATAAATGGAATGAAATAATGTGCCTGGTGTATCAGGTACAGTTCCTGGGACCAAGTAGGTGTTCAATAAATGAGTACTGGCCATTACAGATTTTGTAACTACAAGAAGACAGCCCAGGAAACTGAGACCTGATTCCTTGAGAGGCCATTCAGGCTTTCTCCATGACCTCTCAGCCCTTTTGCAATTAATGTTAAGCTAATCTTTTAATGGAAAGAACAGCTTTATGACTATTGTTTTAGACCATTTATTTTATTTTTAAGGGCATATTGTCAATGTTCATATTCATTAAGGACTTTAATAAAATCACTATATAACTTATTTAATTTTTATTTTCTTGGCTAAATAATTAGGGTAATTAAATATTTCCTATTAGCTCCTCATGAGAAAATCCCAAGAAAGCATGGGACATCTCAGTATTCTAATTGACAGTATTTCAACATGGTAAAAATGACCACATGGTTCCTCTATTATCTCTTTTAAGGATAAATATTACCATGAAAAAAAACAATAGTTTTTTTGTTTCTTTTCTTTTTGTTTACCAACATTACCATTATATTAAGTACTAGATTTCTCCTTTCACAACTCAGAGCTGGAAACTTGTCATATGAATAAGTGTCTGCAAGACTCAGGGCATGTAGGGGATTGGGGTGGGGGTGGGGGCAATGGTAAGATATGTACACATATAATACCTTAATTTAAAAATGGAAAAAAAGACTCAATAATGTTAAAGCCTCATCAGTCACCTACCTTCTCAACTGAAAAATAATTTGTTAGATATTAATTAGGCTTCCAGACATCTTTCCCCTGGGAAAGTCCATTAAATCAGGGTGTATTTTAGTATAAGCCTCTTGAATGACTCCAAATTGTGAGTCCTTCCTTTTCTGGGAAAAGCCCCAAAATCAAGTAAACATTGAGTCATGGTTACTGGTTCCTGTAAACACAGACTGTGACATTCAGAGAACATTTTGCCAAAGGTAGAAATCCCAGGGCGAGATTTGGCTCACATAGTAGAGCGCCCACATTGCAGCATTGGAGCATTCTAATCAATTTCCAATAGTCAATATTATTTAAGTTCCTCTTTTTATGCAATAGATATAGTTCTGAACAGATGCATGTATATTTAAAATTAGCAAGTTAAATAACTTTTTAATGCATTGGTTTTGCCATTTAAAGGAATTATATATGAACTATTTCAAAAAGTAAATACTCCTAACACGATCTATTTCCTGCATCTTATGCTTTATACAGGTTTTTTTTTAAAGATAGTTAAATCTAAACTACCACTATAAATAATTACTAGAATTTCTCAAAGGACAAGAAAACAATGATGTTTAGATTCTGTTCCTTCTGTTGGCAAGAGTAATAGTGATAGCTAATCAGATTGAGCATGAAAGTGTACAGGTTCCATGTGTATTTCTTCAGTTGACACTCTTGTCTATTCTGTAAGGGGAGTAGGAGAAAAAAGGTTATTATAAAGAAACAGAGACATCTAACTCTTAGGTGATTCGCCCCACATCACTCAGCTAGAAGGTGGTAGAATGTGGTCTCAGAAAAAGCTTCCTTTTTTGAGACTGCAGTTTCCACAAACCATACTGATTACATCTCAAAAGATAATACCAAAGCTCTTTGAGTCCGGCCAGAGTGGCTCAGGAGCTGAGTGGCAATCTACTAGTATGAACCAGGAGGTCATGGTTCGATTCCTGCTCAGGGCACATGTCCCGGTTGTGGGCTCAATCCCCAGTATGGAGTGTCCGGGAGGCAGCTGATCAATGACTCTCTCTCATCATTGATGTTTCATCTCTCTCTCCCTCTCTCTTCCCCTCTGAAATCAATAAAAATGTATTTTTTAAAAAGCTCTTTGAAAACATAGCCCATCCATCTTTTATATCACTCTTTCAAAGGAGGCATGTGTTCATGGGTAAACCTATTTAAATTTGGAACATAAATCCCACATGTCACAATTTTCCCACTTTGTTGAAACCCAGCTAAGCTCATCTATTATAAAACCATGCATATATACTATACTACTCATCAAAGAAAACTGCAGTAAATAACTAACCAATCATTATCTTCTCAAGTCATTTACCAAACGGGAGACATGTGCCTAAAGGTGTACCTTAGGAAGCATTAGAGGCATCATCTAAGTCCAATGTCATAGATTTATTATCTGTCAGCAAGAACACTAGGCAAGCTTACTGAATTTGCCATTGGTAATTTACAATATCACAATGTTTTGTTCAGAAATCAAAGAGTGATGACATTACCTCTGAGGGTCTGTACATGGGATCCAGTTTACCTCTGGGTGTGGGATATCCTCCAGATAGGGGTAAATGGTCTCCCTTGTGAAGACCCAGCCATAAATTCCATCTTCTGGGGTCACAACGATATGAGCACCCTACCCAAACCAGAGGGAACAAAAAACTTCCTCATCAATTCTGAACACTCGCACTTCCTCAAGTTTCAAATTTCATTTGCAGTATCCCAGGCAGTACAAAAAGGGCATTACCTGCGTGGCTGCCAGCTTAACTGCTTTCTCCAAAACATCTATATTCTTATTCATCAGGAGCACAGCTTCTTCTTTGGAAGCAGGTGTTTCTGTTCTGTTTGGTAATATAACCGCATGCTCATACACTGCGGCAATAAACGTGTCCAGAGCACCAACACTCAGGACAAGGAGGGCAAAAAGTGCCACATATTTTGGAAAATAGGATGTAATCATAGCTAGAATTTAGTGCTCTTTGATAAACTCAGGTTCTTATGTTGTGTACCACTGGATAACATTCTATGTTAAAGCCCTGCCTGCTACCAGCTATTTATATTTCTCACGAATGCATTACACAATTGCACAGAATACATTGCACAATCTTGAGAAAGGATGTTGTGCAAGAAAACTGACCACCAGGATTATACAATTGGGTTGACTCAAGAGTGCAGCCCTGTTGTTGACAACGTTCAGAGGGTGATCCAACGTTTAAGGAAGCATTAAGGAGCCAATCAGATTGAGTCCACCTCAGTCTAAAACTCTTTTCTTTTAGTAAAATATATTTTCCTGGTAGTTCAGTGTTTTCAGTAATAGGGCTAATATTAGGACCACTGTAGTAGGCAAGCATCATAATAACAATATGTTGAAAACTTATGTTCATAACTGTGACAGACACTGAACAGGGTACAAAGCAAGTCCCAATTTTAACAGAGCCCACAAAATGGCAAAAGGAGGAAGAGTTCTGTACATGCTAATGTCTGGGCACACTTGTTCTTTTTGTAAAATATATTTTTACTCATTTTAGAGTGGAAGGGAGAGGGAGAGAGAGAAAATCAATGATGAAAGAGAATCATTGATCAGTTGCTTCTTGCAGGCTCAATGGGAATTGAGCTACAACCCAGGCATGTGCCCTGACTGGGAATTGAACTGTGACCTCCTGGATCCATAAGGTGGATGCTCAACCACTGAGCCACACTGGCTGGGCTGGGCTCACTTGTTCTTGACCAATGGCCCTGAGATTTTGCATCATAAGAAAATATCAGCAGAAACCAGAGTTGCCAGTTTCTCTTGAAAAGACTGCCTAATAGTCTAGAATACTGGAATTTTATCTGGACCGTGTAAAATATAGATAGATTATCACATGGTCAATGGTGGTGATTGATCCCTGGGTTGATCTAATACTTAGATGGCTTTTAAGTGACTAGTGTGTGGGGAGTGTACTCAGCATGGATACACTGGTTAAAGGGAAGGTTAATGTCTCCAGGGGACACAGTGTGACATTTCCTCATGTTAGTCAATCAAAATGGCACATAATTTAAAACTTAGGAATTGCTGCCCTTTCCCGTGTGGTTCAGTTGTTTGGAGTATGGTCCTGTGCACCAAAGGGTCACAGGTTCCATTCTTGGTCAGGGCACATACCCAGGTTGTGGATTTGACCCGTGGTCAGGGCTTGTGAAGGAGGCAACTGATCAATGTTTCTCACATCGATGTTTCTGTCTCCCTCTCCCTTTCTCTTTCTCTAAAAGGGAAAAAAAATGTTTTTAAACTTATGAATTGTTTATTTTGGGAGTTTTTCATTTAATCTTTTTGGATTACAGTTAATTGAGTGCAACTGAAACCCCAGGAAACAAAGCTGTGGGTAAGGGTGGACAACTGTATTCAAAATGCTAATTCTGAGATGTGGTCCTGCTCCACGAGGGGTAAGCAAGTTGACTTTGCAATATACAGATAAATACTTATGTTTTTTTTAAAAAATTTTTTATTGATTTCAGAGAGGAAAGGAGAGGGAGAGAGAAAGAAACATCCCTGATGAAGATCATGGATTAGCTACCTCCTGCACAACCCCTACTGGGGATCAAGCCCAAAACCCAGGCATGTGTCCTGACCAGGAATCGAACCCAGGACCCTTCAGTCTGCAGGCTGACATTATCCATTGAGCAACACCAGCCAGGGCAATACTTGTTATTTTAACAGTTACAGATTAACACTCAAAATGTATAACTCATCAAATCCAAATCATTCTTGATTTATTTCCACAACTTGCCTATTGGACATCTTTATTCAGTGATGTTGAATTATTCCCTGACCTCTGAACATTTCGTGTAACTGCTCTACTGATTATATGCTCATTTTCCCCTGAAATGTCCTTTTCTCCAACTGTCAGAATTCCAGTTCCTTGTAGAGCTTTCTCAAAATCTATTCTAATCCTGAGTGAGATTTCTGAACACTCTTAGCACTTATTTCTTGTCCTGGTGAATGTCTCTCACTGCTTGCTGTTATCTTGACCCTTAATTTAAATCTTATACTCATATTTAGCTTTGCAGATATGTTTTGTCTTCTTAAAGAGATTAAAAGAAATCTTGATGTATCATTCCAGAACATCTATGTAAAATAATCTTTGAGGAATGACACATCCTAGGGTATGACCCCTGGAGAACAAGGAAGTGTCTTACTCATTTCTAAACCTCATCACCCCAGCACACATGTGACAGGCTGTGAGCCCAATACATGAGTAAATGTGGAATGAAGGATCCAGGGACCTGAAAGTCCCATCTATTCCTTGTTTGAATGTTGTAAATTTTTAGAACTTTTTTTCTTGCACTGAGACGTGGTTTATTTCATGTATCTTCTACAGTGTAAGCCGATAGCTCCAACCCTGTTTTCTGCTTCTGTTAGATAATTCAGAGAGTTCTAAATTCTCTCTTAATTCTTATAAAGTTCATCCTTATAAATTCCTTAAGTATAAAGGCCACATTATGATTCCCTGTTGCTCTTGTGGAGTTTTGTACCATGCTAAGATCTGATAATGTCTTCTGATATGTGAAACTCAATTTTTTGTCTAGTTTTGGAATGAATCCCTTTGAATGTGAGTTCATTTAAAATATAAAGCGATTCTTTCAAGGTTTAAATTCCTGATTCTAGAATCATTATTTCTCTCTCTCATTCTCTCTCCTTTCTAATTCTCTTCTGATGTAGGGAAATTGTTAAATTTTGGAGATTTATGCCTTTGTTTGTTCGTCTGGTTTGGTTCAATAATTGAAAATCTTTAGATTCTAGTAATGTTTTCCCACTAACTAAATGTTGCTTCCTTGAGTTTCCATGTGTCCTTATATCCTGCAATGATACCCATCAGAGGCAAATTCATTTTAGAAATAATATCTAAGAACAAGAAGGAAACTGTGTAAAGCAGATGGATTGCTTTTAATATTTCAAGTTGAAATTCTCACTCTTGTCTTAATCACCTGCCTTTCTGAATAGAATCAAAAGGAAACATGGGAATTTCCCTTATCCTCCCAGTCCCCAATTCCAGGAAATGTAGCAACTTATTATTTTGAAATCAATAGAAACTTGGATTAACTATTTTATTACCACTGTGGCTACTAATGCCTTTGCTTCCTATGTGTATCAGGAATAGGGATTGTGCATGTTATGTAAATTAGGTATTTATACATAACTTGAATGATAGTTTGGAATTATTGTGGGATTAAGGAGTTCAGAATCTAAAGTTTTATATTAAAATACACTCCCAGTCTTTCAGATCTAAGTTAATGACTTATTTACTCTTCCAGCTTTTTATGTGAAAGCCCTTGGTGGTATCCTTACTTCTATCTTTGCCTTTCACTCTACATACTGTTAAGTCAGGTGATCTTTTGCGGGCAACTTTGTGGCCTGGATTATTTCAATACCTTCTTGCTTGGTTTTTGAATCATTACTTCGTTTGCTCGACAGCAGTCAGAGTGATCCTATTAAAATTGATTGTGTCACTGCTCAAAACTTTTCAATGGCATCCTATTTCACTTAGAATAAAAAGCCAAGTTCTTGCCGAAACCGGTTTGGCTCAGTGGATAGAGCGTCGGTCTGCAGACTGAAAGGTCCCAGGTTCAATTCCGGTCAAGGGCATGTACCTTAGTTGTGGGCATATCCTCAGTAGGGGGTGTGCAAGAGGCAGCTGATCGATGATTCTCTCTCATTGATGTTTCTAACTCTCTCTCTCTCTTCCTCTCTGTTAAAAATCAATAGAATATATTAAAAAAAAAAAAAGGCAAGTTTTTGCAATGTCTAGAAGACTCACTATGATACAGCCTCTATTACTTCTAACACAAACCCTTTAGATGGAGGCTATAAATGGCCACAAAGCCAATGTTCTCACAGAGATGCTTCCAAAGATCATGATTTCAGCTGCCCTCATGGAGTGAAGAACATGGCAGGTCAGAGAAAGCCAGTCAATGGGACTGCTGCTTTTTTACTGATGACTGGGTGAGAGGTCATGACTGCGTGCCTGGGACCATCACTATTTAACAATGCTTCCACCTTTTGTTTATTAATTACATCATCAGGTTCACTCAAGATGATTTCAGTGCAGCAGGCTGGGCCATGTTCACCATATTCATCAATAAAAGAAAGGACAGATATTGTTTTATCCATTGTATCAGGCAATGTGCAACCAGAAAAATAGAATCCACACTGGTTATTTTAAGAGAATTTAATACTGGGTTTTGGTTACACAGGTATTTGATGAATTAAGGACAAACAAACAAAAAGGAACACTGGGATAACACAGCAACATCAGGAAACAGCTACCATTCCTGTTATTTGTAAACAAAAGGAAGAGGAGGTGTTAGGAGCTAGCTTTCCAGAGGACACTGGGGAGCAAAGGCTCAGCCCCCTGAGGAGAGGGCCCTCTCCAGCTGGTGCTGATGAACCAAGTCCTCAGAAGGGGCCCCATACTGCATTTTAATAGAAGATTCAAGTTTAACAAATAAGGAGTATATACAGAATATATAAAAATAAAATATCAATGTCTCAATTTAATGTGATATTTTAATGTGAAAGTATTAGACTTAATTTTGGAGATATAAAATCTAAAAAATTCTGAAAATGTATTTCCTTAATTTTAAGAATACTTGCATTAAATGATCCAAATACTGCAGTGTATTTGGAGTTGCAGTATATATATATATATATATATATATATATATATATATATATATATATATATATATATATAATATTTTTAAGCAGACTACCCAATGTTGAAAACAGTGTTACTATTCACAGTTATGGGATTTGGGGCCTGTTGAATTATACCACAACCTTCAGGTGAGATAGTTCAAGGCTATGAATGCCCTGAGTCAGGTCACCTGTGATATGAACCTGGACTAGCTCTCATTGCTTCTAGAACATCTCAAAACAACTTCATTGTGAAGATAAACTTCAACATTACCATCTGATTGGGAAGCAAATTTCCCCCTAATCGTCAGCACAGAAAAGTAAGTGAATTCAAATTATCTTTAATGTTAAGTGGTATTCAGTCACAAGATTCTCAATCTTCAAGGGCCACGACTATGCTTACAATAACCCTGAAGCTCTCACTCTGCCTGCCCCTCAGGCACACCAGCACACACAAGGTCATAGCAAATAAGGTTAGAACTAAGATCTGATCCTCATTTATCTGACCTAAGTACCAGGGGGAAAAATTATCATAATACTTAAAAATAATTCAAGATGAGAAGTATACGTATGTGGAAATCATTCGTTTATACGAATGGTCAACAAACTGAGGCTCAGGACCTTCATGCAGCTCTTTGGCCCCTTGAGTGCGGCTCTTCTACAAAATACCACGGTCTGGGCGAGTCTATTTTGAAAAAGTGGTGTTAGAAGAAGTTTAAGTTTAAAAAATTTGGCTCTCAAAGGAAATTTCAATCATTATACTGTTGATATTTGGTTCTGTTAGCTAATGAGTTTGCCGACCACTGGTGTATACTCCTGAGATCTCCCTTCAAAGTTTCTTAGTAAACTTGGAAAGCCAATAAACACATTTAGCAAAATATATGCTGCAAAAATAAATGTGATAAAGTGATGTCCTATACCATCATAATATTTGCAAAACTATGATCATTAAAAAAGTGGCTATTAGCAGGTTAGTTGTTTCCAAATTTCTGATCCCTCCAGAGCTGGACAGTGAGTCCTTAGTGTACCATCTCCCAAAGAGTGACACTGTTAGAATAGGCTCAGATAATCCATTCTTGTTTACCAAACGCCCGTCTTTTAGTACCTAAACAAACAGTGGGAAAAGAATAGTCAGCTTCATTAAAATATACATTATAAGCAGAATTATTTTTTTTAAATAGTCCTATTTTGATTAAGTAGTTCTAGCTTTTCTACTGGTTTCTTATTAGACATTTTTTTCCTAAAATATGCTACACAATTCACTAGCCACATAAACACTGTATACTAAATATATTAATTATTCCCTTAAACTGTTAGTTCTTTGCCATCAAAATCACCTGTGGGAATCTGAAAAAGTACAGGTCCCACCTTCAAGAGATTCTGATTTACTGCATCTGAAAAGGGTCCTGACCTCCAGCCCATTGGCATATTGATCTATTCTTCCAACCCTGTGGCCTATTTCTGGCAAGCTTTTCTTCCCAGTGGTTAATGAACTTGGTTAACCAGATGAACCTTTAGTACTAAGGACTTAAAAATACATCCTGATATTTGTATAATGCTTCACTGTTCACTAAATGATTTCACATGAATTATCACATTTGAACTTCAGCAAATCAGTGAGAAAGATATTCTATGCCTTTAATGGATAGGAAATTCAGAGGTTAAATTTAACTGACTTGCATAAGGTTATATACTAGTAACGATAATAGTCAGTTTCAGAGATTAAATTTCTGATAACAAACCAAAGTTGCCTAAAATATTACAGCAAGATACTTCCCACGTTTGTGGTTATGGTCAGTGACACTTCCTGTTTTTAGCATAAAACTAGGGTGGGGAGAGACACACAGCAAATGTGTTGAAATCCCTGCAGAAGTGATCCTATAAGATAATATGTAAATATTTTCTTAAGAGAGTGCAGCAGTCAAGGCAACAGTAGTACTCCAGCAGACATGGCAGGTGTGAGTCATATACAAAACGTGTCTTCTGCCTGGCCAGCATGGCTTAGTGGTTGAGCATCAACCTATGAAGCAGGAGGTCACAGTTTGATTCACAGCCAGGGCATATGCCTGGGTTGTGGGCTCAATCTCCAGTGTGGGGTGTGCAGGAGGCAGCCGATCAATGATTCTCTCTCATCACTGAGGTTTCTCTCTCTCTCTCTCTCTCTCTCTCTCTCTCTCTCTCTCTCTCTCTCTTTCCCCCTACCCCCTTTCTGAAATCCATCTGCTGATAACTCTAAAAACAATGTTTACAGAAGGGCCATGACTTGAAAGATCTCTAGGAAAATAATTTTTAAAAAAATGAAGATTTGGTTTGGGTTTATTTGGCCCTTTTTGAAGAAAGTAAGCACCCAGAATTAATGTGGTCTCAGATAACCAGCCTTAGAGAGGAGAAGCACATTATCTTAGGCTTTCATAGCTTTATGATAATATGTTCCATGAATACCCAATCCCTTTTGTTTTAATTCCATGCTCACAAAAACAAAAACAACAACAAATAATACACACATACAAAAAACTTCAGATCCATAGCTTCAGTGTTTGAGATGACTTACCAATGGATAGTCTTCTTGAAGCAAAAGTTATTTTTCTCCAGGTAAATGAATCTATTTTTTAAAGTAATAAATGGGTCCCCTCTGTTGTCATCTTGTGAGTTTGGCTAGTGTCTGCTCGTTAGAATATGAACTTCAGGGAAAGTAATGCCACAGGGAATCTATACTTGAGAAATGAAGACAGTACTCTGGCCATGGAGCTCCCTCCAAGCATTGTTACACCAAGACCCTGCCTACCAGCTGGCAAGTGCAATATATCTTTTTTATGTAACCAAGACCTTATTTCTTCATTCAACAAATAAGCTGGAGAATATGAGACATGATCCAAATGATAAATGTACCATAAAGTACCCAACTTAAAGGATGGGTACAACCTCCCCCCCCTCCCTCCTTCTTTTTCTTCTTCCCTTCTTCCTCTTCCTTCCTTCCTTCCTTCCTTCCTTCCTTCCTTCCTTCCTTCCTTCCTTCCTTCCTTCCTTCCATCCATCCATCCATCCATCCATCCATCCATCCAAGAATGAAGGGCCAGGGCCCAGGCATGGGAGACGGCATGACAAGTTCTAAGAACTGTTGAGTTGAAACCTACAAATACTATACTGTTAAGCACTTAATTATTTGCTCTTTTGTATCATTCTCTAATTGTTGTTCCCAGCTACCTAAAACAATTTGGGATTAAAAAAAAAAAAGGTAAAACAAAGGAAATAGCTATGTCCTAGTTTCTTCATGCTCTCCAACTCCTCATCAACTACCATCATCTAACTTCTTCAAATACCAATGTGGTTCAGAGTGAGAGTAAAATGGCATTTCTGGCTCAGGACTTCTTTTAAAAATGATTTTTAGAGATAGGGAGGGAGGGAACAATGTGAGAGAGAAACATAGATTGGTTGCCTCCCACACATGCTCTGGCTGGGAATCGAACTCACAACCTGGGTATCAAATCCACCCACCACCTTTCGGTGTACCAGATGATGCTCCAACCGATTGGACCACTGGCCAGAGCTCCGGCTCTGGACTTTTAATCTGGTCTGGAAACTCCATAAGTTTTTTGTCTTTCTCCATAAATGAGATGATTTTATGACATAAGTGCTCAGTCTCACTCTAGGATAATTCCTTAATGAGACAGATACATTTCCATGAGTATATGAGGGGGGTAATATCAAAGTACTACCCATGTTCAGTTTACATGGCAGAGATTATGAGAATACAGGGTACCAATACTACCTGACCCTTGATCTGTATGAACTCTGCTGTCCTTTCTCTCACTTACTTGGAAGTGGCCTCACATATTTTCAATTCATCGATACTTATTTGTGCCAGCCTGGCCACCTTTGAACTACTAAATTATAGTTACAAAGCCCTCACTTCATATCTATGATTTTCTGTACCTAGCATTTAAGCTTTTACTCCAGCTTCAATTTGCTTATAAGATTCTACCTAACCAGGTTGTAAGGCAGGCAAGGATTTCCGTTTTCTGGGTTTCTCAGATTTAAGGCTGCACTATGTGTCAAACTGTTGGTTTCACAGAATTAAATATATTTATAAATATGATATATCCCAATCTGATAATACAGGCAGGCATTGATCATCAGCAAGCTGCAATTTTAAAGACTTTCTTGCTTAATGCTTTAGACAACAAATTAATGTAGATCCTGCTTTGCTTATAAAAAATTCAATGACTATACCCTACACACTACAATCCTGCCTCTGTATGCCACAACTCAGAGAAGACATTAAGGTTCAAACTGGTTGAGTGTGTGTGGCCTAGCAGATAAAAACCTACAGTCTTAATTCTAATTTGAGACCACCTTAATTTATAAATTAACTTGTTTATAGCCACTATAATTTGTAAAATAAATATCTGATTTTCCATTTGTTTCCACATGCGACAAAAGGACACTGAAAGTCTGTAAACAAATACTTTTCAATAAATGGGGCTTGAGCTCATAGGTTCTAGGTATCTTATCATGTTATTCCAACAAAGTGTCATCACTTTAGAATTACTTGCTGTAAATGTAAAAAAGGGCCTGACTATTTCCTCCTCCTTTATTCATGCCCTTCTGCAATGTGATTTGACAGCTCTACTTATTGAGAGATCTGTATCATTTATTTCTCTAACCTTTGAAACTACTTTGGGCATGTGACTTGCGTTGGCTAATGAGACATTCACAAACATGGTGTAAGCAGAGACTTGAGGAAAAACTTGCCCCTTGTGGCTTTCCCTCTTGATGCTCTTGGACTCCTTCAAGTCCAAGCTTGCTGAAAGAGGAGGGAGCACAGAGAGAGTGTGGTCCCAATCATTCCAGCTATCTAAGACAAGACCATCACAAACCAGCCCAATCACCAGCTTGTGGCAGGTGATGAATGAATGCATGAATGAGCCCAGCCAAGATCAGTTAAGCCTATTCCAAACCAGAACAGCCTAGCTACACTCAGTTCACAGTGTCAACCACACAAAGTACCAGCAAAAAAAAAAAAAAATGGTTATGTCTAAAGCCATAAAGGTATGAGGAAGTTGGCTGCACAGTACAATTTAAGCGATACAGTTGCCATAACCTATTTGCTTGGCTTCAGAGAACAGATAAAATAAAAATACTCTTAAAGTCCTCCTACCTCAAATTTTCCAGGTGACAGCTTAACTTTAGTAAGTAGCACTTCAGGAAAAACATACTTTGTTCTGAATGTACCACTTAGGGAGAATACGTCAAATCTTGTCAAAGCTGTTTCTACCGGTTGTCCACAAGTTGTCACATTAGTCGTTTTACATTTCAGCATGGTGCATACCTATGTAGAATAGATGTAGGTAAAATGCAATCCCTTACATCTAAGTTACTTGTACTAGAATGGTTGACTCAGTTTGTAATTATAGCAAAGTAACTATTTCCTCATTTGATGAAGGGATTTGGATCATGTTCCTTATCGTTAACAGCTTTATTGGAAACGACCAATGATTTGAGATCCAAGCCTACCTCCTGGGTAACAAATGGGTTGAAAGAAAGAAGTCAGCTTAGAATTAGACCTAAACCATTAGTTTGGCGCATCAAGTTATTAGTTGGCCCAAGAGAGTAGAGATCTCTCTGCAACAGTAGTATTGAAGCTAATATTATGATTAAAATTCTGACCATCCCTTTTCTCTCATATCCTTTGTATAAGAAAGGGTAGAGGGGCACAGAGTATAAGAAGATGCAAATGCATAAACAACAAACACTATACGAAAGTTTGAATTTTAAATATTTGTCATTGGAAGGAAATAAAATGAACAAAACACCTGATGACAAGAGAGACTAAGATCAAAGTGGTACCCTTCTCAGTGTTGACTTTAAAAGTTAAAACACAACTGCTTATATTCAGATACATTGGCAAAACTACACAAGAAAGCCTATTGGAGTTCACTGTAATATGTAAACTAGTTCATTAGTTAAATAGAAAATCATCATGCTCAGGTTAATAGATATTCTCTTAAGCATGCTCAAAGCAATCCAATTACAGTTAACGCCTATTGCAAATATCATTATTATTCTGTGTGTGTGTGCGTGTGTGTGTGTGTGTGTGTGTGCGTGCGTGTGTGTGTGTGTGTGTGTGTGTGTGTGTGTGATGCTGTGTTTCAATGCGTAGAGTCATGCAGAGAGAAAGCACTTGGCTCCCTGGGGCAAACACGGAAAGTTCACCCTACAACTTACTGATACCTAAGCACTCCCTTTCCCCCGAGCTGAGATTACCTGCCAGTATTCTCTTCTCCTTCGGCCGTGAAGTCCTGTGAAAGCTCCCAGAACGTACACTTCGTTCCCTTCTTGTCTTAGCATTCTGTAGCTTAAATGACAGCAGAGATCTTTGTGACAGACTGAAAGATTGCCTGCATTTTCAAAAAGTTCTGTGAAGTTGAACTCATCTCTGGACATAAACCCCCTGAAAGTATTTTTCTGGACTGGGAATGGTTTGATGGTTGTGGCATAGGCACTCCAGTCTACGGCTGCGGGGTAGGCAGGAGATTTTCGAGGATGTGAATACAATTCTGAAAGAAGGAGCTTTCCCTCGTTTGTTTTCATATCATAATGGAATACTTTGGGCGAATCCGGTGCATAAATACCACTGCCTGCGAATGGAAAAGGAGTCTTCTTAACACAAAACCAACACTGCCAGTTTCCCCATCAGAACTGAGCACCCGGTCACGTCACCACGTTGGTCCCAACGAGACAGCACACAGGCTTTAGATACGGGGAACACCCAAGCGCTTCTCCTGCTCTCTCTTGAAGGAACATCATAGATGTTTGATGTCTGGTATCAAATAAACTTTATAACAGGAATGTTTGTGAGCATTATGGAAAATTGAAACAAATATAACAAATCTTTGTATTTGGGAGTACATGAAAGGTACGGAGCAGTAATATAAAATTATCTCCTGCTCTCCACCAGGTTGGTGTTTCCATATCGCTCCCAAGTTTTTCAACACTCTTCTCTCCAATGGGTAGGTCTAATTCCTTTCCCTTCGAGTGCAGGCTGGACTTTGCAACTCCTTTCTAACGAATGGAACACAGTAGAAGTGATGGTGTGTGATTAATTTAAAAAAAGCAGTGCAGCTCTCGCTCTCTGTCTCTCTCTCACTCTATCTATTTATCATCCATCTAAAGAAAGTCAGCTGCCATGTCATAAGGATACATCACACAGCCTATAGAGAGGGCCAAGTGGCAAGAAATGAAGGCCTCCTGACTGCCATGAGAGGCAGCCTCTGGGAAACAGGCCTGCCAGCCCCAGTCAGGACTCCTTATGACAACTCGCCCAGCTAAGGGCTTGACAGAACCCGAGGAGACAGTCTGAGCCAGGATCACACACCAACCTAGTCCCAAGTAGTGACAGATGGAAAAAGTGAGATAATAAATGTTTGTTGTCTTAAGCTATTTTTTTACTTGGAAGGTAAATTATTCCAAACGTCAATACACTCCTTCTGTTCGTTGCCAATGTTTGAGCAAAGCATGTTTACTTCTGTGCTTTGCCACTTACTAGCTGGTAGCCTTTGGCAAGTGACTTGCATGCTGTGTGCCTCAGGTTTCTAATCTGTAGAAATGGATGGTAGTACTCATCTCTCCGAGTTGTTGTGAGGATAAAGGAAATAATGCACAGAAAGGTCTTACTGCAACCACAATTGCCCAAATCAGTAACTAGGGCCCTAGCTTATTTGGCTTAGTGGATAGAGCATCAACCTGTGGACTGAAGGGTCCCAGGTTTGAGTCTAGTCAAGGGCACATGCCTGGGTTGTAGGCTTGATCCCCAGTCAGGGGTGTTGGGAATATTCAGGAGGCAGCCAATCAATGATTCTCTCTCATCATTGATGTTTCTATATCTCTCTCTCCCTTCCTCTATGACATAAATTTAAAAAATATTTTTCTTTATTAATTAAGGTATTACATATGTGTCCTTATTCCCCCCTCCATTACCTCCCAATTCCCCTACTCATGCTGTCACCCCCCTGGTGTCTGTGTCCATTGGTTAGATTTATATGCATACATACAAGTCCTTTGGATGATCTCTCCCAAAAAATATATTTTAAAAAATCAGTCACTAGACATTGAGTGTATGTGGGAATAATTGAAAAAGATAGCGGTTAGTCCCTATAAAGAAGCAAAAAAATATGACAGCTCACATCTAAGGCATTAGCTCCTCTGCATTTAGAAGGACTATCTGCAAACCTCATCTGGTCATAAATTACCTGTCATATTTTGTTGCACATAATGTATATTTGCCGCAAGAAGATTAACTCTCATGCCCATAGCCCAAGCTGAGTGGAATTCAATAGCTGTCAGTAGGGGCAAAACATTCATCCACGCTGTGGGAAACAGAATGGTGTCCACCTGCAAGTCTTTCACCAGAGTCACAGCAGGATCATGGAAGAGTATATCGAAGCACGTGAAAATGCCAAACTTCCCAAAGGCGGTGTCAAAAGTCACCAGCTCTGGCTTTTCAGGGGCATCAAACTGAGGTTCAGAGAAGAGGTTGTACTGTAACAAACGCATACGACAAAACCAGAAAAAGTTTCTTTACTGAAGAGATGACTTGTAAAAAAAACAAAAACAAAAAAACACACCTCCAAAGTTAGTACTGCTACGGTAGTAGATTTGGTTATGGTCAACAACAGAGACACTATAGGCAGTGACTGAGACTGCTTATTGGAAGCAAAAGTCCAAGGAAAAGGAATACAATCTCTCTCCCCCCGCCTCCCCCACCCAGTCTGCCCAAATTAGAAGACAAATAACTTCCCATAAATTCTAGGTTAGGACTTTCTTAAAAGCTGAAGAAGCTTTTTTAATGTTTCTAGGTGTCAGGGATTCAAATAAGAACGCTGTTATCGAATCCTTGACCCTTAGAAACACAATCGATGCACAATAAACATGTTAAGTGGATAAGGAATACTACCTCCCTTTTACAGTGTCCCATCCAAAATAATTTCAGTTTTTAAAAATGCTGAAATTAAAAATGAAAAGAAGTTGTCAAAACCTGCAAAATCATGAAGGAAACTGTAAGGAAGCTGTCTGAAAATTATGTGATTGTTTTATTTATTTGGTTTTTTAATCCTCACCCAAGGACATTTTTCCATTGATTCTTAGGGATTATGGAAGAGAGAGGGAAAGACAGAGAAAAATATCAATGTGAGAGAAACACATCAATTGGTTGCCTCCTGCATGAGTCCCCACCAGGGTCTGGGCCAGGGAGGATCCTGCAACTGAGGTACATGCCCTTGACCAGAATCGAACCTGGGATCCTTTGGTCTTTGGGCCAATGCTGTATACACTGAGCCAAACCACTAGGACTGTGTTTTATTTAGAAATACAAAAATAAATATACAAAATTTTTTTCTGTAGCAGTATGTAATCAAAAGCATTGAAAAACAATTGGGTTATGCCGAAACCAGTTTGGCTCAGTGGCTAAAGTGTCGGCCTGTGGACTGAAGGGTCCCGGGTTCGATTCCAGTTGGGGCATGTACCTTGGTTGTGGGCACATCCCCAGTGAGGGGCGTGCAGGAGAAGGCAGATCGATGACTCTCATCGATGTTTCTAACCCTCTACTCTATCTCTCTCCCTTCCTCTCTGTAAAAAATCAATAAAATACTTTTTTTTTAAATAAAAAAAAAAATAAAAATAAATGAAAAAAAAGAAAAACAATTGGGTTAATATCACTCCTCTTGACTAATATTTACATTTCAACTGGGACTTCCAGCACATTATTTCTCCACTCAGAAAATTCTGAGTGGAGAAATTGTTAAAAGATACAATTTAAGATGCTTAGAAAGTGTGGGTGGGTGTGGAAGAGGACATACACACTGATATGCACATCACATATTCACTTAAAAGGCTGGCTCATTCCCTGCCCAATTTGGTACAAAATTATGGCTAAAGTTTATCTTGCTCTTTTTTTTTTTTTTTTTAAATATATTTTATTGATTTTTTACAGAGAGGAAGGGAGAGAGATACAGAGTTAGAAACATCGATGAGAGAGAGTCATCGATCAGCTGCCTCTTGCACACCCCCTACTGGGGATATGCCCGCAACCAAGGTACATGCCCTTGACCGGAATCGAACCCGGGACCCTTCAGTCCCCAAGCCGATGCTCTATCCATTGAGCCAAACCGGTCCCGGCTATCTTGCTCTTTTAATTCAGAGTTTAAAGTAAAAAATTTTCTGATTTAACCTTAAATTCATAAAAGGGTAATTCAATGAACTGATATGAAAAATAAAGGGAAAGACTATAATTTGATAGAAAACAGGGAAATTAACTTCTGTAAAACTCATTCATACAATTTGGAAACATCTTTATATCATTTCAACATTAAATGGTATCCAGACTACAGTCACCTTGGCATCCTTTGAGTTAATATTAAAATTATGGTCTTATATACAGAATGATTTATCTCAACCATGGACTATTGCAACATCTTTCTAATAGCTCTTTATCTACATTTTCCCCCCAGGTTAGTTTTTTCTAAAATGTGATTTTCTTTAGTGTTCGTCTTAATAACAAATCTCTAATAACATCATGTCTAGGGAATAAAGCTCAAAATACTCAACACAGCATCCATCACTCATAACAGCCATCATCTTACATACCCACCCTCTCTTACCTTGTGATAGCGTGCCACCAATTGTCCCTTTGCATCATATACCACATTGGTATTGTATTGGTAATAGCCATTAGGAGGACATGTGGAGTAATGAGAATTACATGGCTTTTTGTCCCCAATATTTGCCAAGACATAGATAGAGTTGTCCTTGGCCAGGCAGCTGAGTCTTGCTTGTACTGGTGTGTCACCAAATCTAAATCAAATTTTAATGAAGACATTTTAATAAGTCAGACAGAGAAAGACAAATACTGTAGGATGTCACTTATTTGTGGAATCTAAAAAGACTGAACTCACAGAAACAGAGTAGAACAGTGGTTACCAGGGGCCAGAAGGTAGGGGAATTGAGAATATGTGGTTTAAGGGTATGAACTTGCAACTAGTAGGTAAATAAGTCTTGAAGGTCTAATGTACAGCATAAATATTATAATAAGAAATACTGTGTTGTAGACTTCAAAGTTGCTTAGAGACTAGATCTTAATTGTCCTCACCACAAAAAGAAATGAGAGAGATTAACTGGAGCTACGGTAGTAAACATATTGCAATATATAAATGTATCAATTTAACACATTATACACCTTATATTTGCAAAATGTTATATGCCAATTATCTATAATAATAAAAGCATAATATGATAATTAGACCAGATGTCCTTCCAGACAAAGCCAAGGCTGGAAGGAAAACCTGGGTCCTGGGTGCTTGCCAGTGGCCAGAGAGAAGCAGGTGCCAGCAGCCAGGGGAAGGAAGGACTACTCTTGCACAAATTTTGTGCTCTGGGCCTCTAGTATCTCAACAAAAAAAGGCATTTCAACTTTAAAAGGTATTTAGTTAATTCATATATAAACAATAACAATAATAGGACAGATAGATGGTCAATAGATTCATTTAAAAATGCTCAGCATCACTAATCACCAGAGAGATGCAAATTAAAACCACAATGAGATTCACCTCACACTTGCCAGAATGGCTACCATCAATAAGTCAATAAACAATAAGTGATGGTGAGCATATGGAAAAAGGGGAACCCTTGTACACTGCTGGTGGGAATTCAGTCTGGGATAGTCACTGTGGGCAAGAGTATGGAGTTTCCTCAAAAAATTAAAAATAAAACTGCCTTTTGACCCAGTGATTTCACTTCTGGTAGTATATCCTAAAAATCCCAAATCCCAATTCTAAAGAATATATGCACTCCTCTGTTTATAGCAGCATTGTTTACAACTGCCAAGATCCCATCAGTGGATGAGTGGATAAAAAAGCTAGGGTACATTTACACAATGGAATAGTACATGGCTGTAAGAAGGAAGGAAATCTGTCTTAGCCGGTTTGGTGCAGTAAATAGAGTGCAGGCCGGTGGACTCAAAGGGCCCTGGGTTCGATTTCTGGGTTAAATTTCTGGATTTGATTCTGGTCAAGGGCATGTGCTCAGGTTGCGGGCTCAATGCCCAGTGGGAGATGGGCAGAAGGCACCAATGATCAATGACTCTCTCTCATCATTGATGTTTCCATCTCTCGTCCCCTCTCCCTTCCTCTCTGAAAACAATAAAAACTTTTTAAAAAATGGTTGACTGAATGAAAAGGTGAATTATTTAAATTTGACTATATTTTCTGTCAAAATGTTTTTCTTCTCCTGTAGGACTATGAAAGGGGCACTTGCTAACCGTATGGAAGAACCTGTCCCCCAACCTTTACTAGTTCCCATAGTTACAATGACCTTTGACTCATCTATGCATTTGCATCATATGTTGTTTTTAACAGGAAATCCAGAACTCAATCCTACTGTGAGATTAAAAACAAATGGGCCATCCCAATTCCCAAAATTTCTATGCAGAAAGACTGTCTGGCTATTGGCCTCTTTTTTATATGAAATAAAATTTCTTACAAACACCATAGAGAAATCATCTCAGGGCAAGAGAGATGGGAAGACGGAATTGTCCAAGGTCATGTAACCCAATATTCTCTTTTTTTGTGCTGTTAATCCCTCTAGAGCAGTGGTCGGCAAATCACGGCTCTCGAGCCACATGCAGCTCTTTGGCCCTTGAGTCTATTTTGAATAAGTGGCACTAGAAGAAGTTTACGTTTAAAAAATTTGGCTCTCCAAAGAAATTTCAACCGTTGTCCTGTTGATATTTGCCTCTGTTGACTAAAGAGTTTGCCGACGGCTGCTCTAGAGCAAAGAAAAACCCTTTTCCGATAGCCCTTATGCAAATGTCAGAATAACCAGGAGTGCCTAAAGAAATGTGGTAGCTATAATTCCCCAGCAAAAATATGGCAGAGGAATGTTAAATAAACTTCATTTGAGGTAAAAGAATGAGAAAGCATGAGAGGGGAACAGAGTGAGAGGATCTGAGCGGTAAGAATAAGTGTGACAGAATGAGAGACCTTTCACTGAAAGGTTTGAAGTGTACTATCTGTACCTCAATAACCTCTGAGTCCTATTAGGAAGTAGGATTCATATATTAAACACACATCCAAGGCTATTAAATATGTTGCATTACAACATTCCTAGATTACTTTTTCTCAGGAAAATTGCCTTTATGAGCCTAGGAACATGCAGTTTCATATCATAAGTCTTATGATTCACTGGAGACAACACAGTGAGGTCTTTCTGCCTGAGAAGCAGATTCCAATAAAATTGCAACATGGCACCTTTAAACAGGGACGTGGAAATATTTTCCAAACACAATCCGCTGTCCACTTCAGAAATTAATTTACTACTTGTGTCCATGAGATCCTCCTCCCCTTCATCACTAGTCCTACTTAGAAATGTCCTGTTTGCATATTTTCCTAAAGTAAATAAAGAAACCATGAAGTGAACATGGCACTCCTGGTTATTCTGACATTTGTATGAAGTAATAAATGCTTATTCAATGGTATCTAAGTGCAACTTTTAAAAAATCCAACAAATGCCAAGATGAATGTAACACTAACCTGCCACCAGGTACATGATAATTCAAGTTTTATCATTTTGATTTGGCGAACATGCAAATTTTAGAGAATTGCTGTACTTTTGCACAAACAACTAGGATAGGGACAATACCTGTGGGGGTCTTGACATGGAATCCAGGCCACCTGAGGGTCTGGGATATCCTCCAGATAAGGAAAAATGGTTTCCCTGGTAAATTTCCATCCATAAAGTGCATCTTCTGGAGTCACGATAATTTGAGCACCCTATTCAAAACAAGTCCAACCAAAATATTTTTCTCCATGTGTAACAGAGACAATGCAACCCTACAAGCTTCCACTGGATTTCATGTCCCCGCCATGAATTAAGATTAGTAGAAAGAATACCTGCGCAGCTGCCTGCTGTATTGCTCTCTCCAGAATATCTATGTTCTTGTTCATAAGGAGCAAGGCATCGTCCCGGGAAACAGGTGTTTCTGTGGCCTTTGGCCGTAGGACAGCATGTTCATAGACGGCAGCTATAAATGTATCCAGGGCACTGACATGCAGGATAACCAGGGCACAAACCGCCACAGAGGCTTGAAAGGAGGAAGTGATCATGGCCAAGATCTAGAGGTTTCTGAAAGTACAAGTAATATTCATGCAGCATTTGTAAAGGGCGGTCCACGAGTTCTTATTTTATAATCTTATGAATATTATACCCTGCGGGGGCCTGACACGGCCGGGGATCTCCCTTCTCCGTGGCCAGCACGGAAAGAAAGATGAAATTGGTTCTTCGGAGAGGCAGCCAGGGTTTGAGAAATAAAGAAATGAAGAGAGTCGATGCAGAAGTAGGTTTAAGCTGGGCCCCAGGTGGGTTGCAGACCTCCTCTGCTAAAGAGACTGGCAACCCCTGAGCCACACAGCACACTATTTATTCTCCAATACACAAAGGGGGGTTTTCACAGGAAAAAACAAAGAGCCTGGGAGGGGCCAGGTCCCACCCACTCCTTCCTGCCTGACAAACACAAGCCAGGAACTAAGAACATCTCCGCACTCCCAGGGCAAGAAGGAAACTGACATGATTCTGTCAATATCCCAGGCTCAGTCAACAACAATCTAAAGAATGTCCAAGTATTTTCAAGGGTGCCCCCTATCACTCCCCCATTTTTAATTTGCATTTTGAACTTTTAAAACTGGCAAGTCAAATATATTTTGCATGTCCTAGATTAGTAACATTTTACATTTCTAAGAAAATACAAGATATAATCAATTAAGAGCTTCAATTCGGTTCTCTAGATTTTTTAAATATATTTTTTATTTTAGACAGAGAAGAATTGAGAGGGATAGAGTTAGAAATGTCTATGAGAGAGAAACATTGACCAGCTGCCTCTTGCACACCCCCCACTGGGATGTGCCACAACCAAGTTAATTGGCCTTGACCAGAATCAAACTCGGGACCTTTCAGTCTACAGTTTGACGCTCTATCCACTGAGCCAAACCGGTTTCGGCTGTCCTCTAGATTTTTTATGAGGTAAATTTAAACTTTACTTTTTTATTTATTTATATAATTAAGAGCCAACTTCCAAAAAAAAAGTTTTTTGCCACAGGAGTTTGGAGGAAGTTTGTAGCCATTCAATGCAAATTACCATCTTCCTTAGCTTACTGGGAAAGTAGTAGAGCGATTAAGGTTGTTGACCAGCCTTTCTGGCTTCCTGACATCTCTCTTTTAGTGAAACTGATTTGTTTCAGTCATCATGGCCAAAAAAAAAAAAGACACTTTAAACTTTCAGAACTTTAAAATTTTCAGGTAGCAAATCAAATACTTAGCATTTCTCAAATCAATAATACTTTTACATTTTTAAAGATACATTTCAAATAAAATATAAGGCATATTAATTAATAGGCTAACTTCAATTCTCTAGACTTCATGCAAAGCATACTTAGATCAACATTTTAGTATTATAACAATTCAATACATTTAGATTTGAGTTTTTATCATTTGATTTAGTAACTTCCGTGTTAAGTTTCCAGCGACAGGTCTAGCCCATCCTCTAAATTTCAAAAATGGTCACAATTTTCCAGCTGGGGAAGTCAAGAGATAAACTCTCAGCCATTCACATGTAAACTTCACTTGCCTCTTGGCAGAAATTTCAAGAGCTGTTTTAAATGCCTTTGGAAACTAGCCTGTATTCATCTCCACCACCTATAAGGCTAAAAACAGCCTCTTAGGTTTTTATTATGTACCCAGTAAACTATGCGCACTCGTTTTAAACTGGCTTTCCCCCTATAATGTGCACAGAAATCCCTGATGCATTTATGAATTCGTAAAAGCTTTAAGTCATTAGCTGGAAAAAAAGATGGTGAATATGAGGCCTCTTAAAGTAGCTTTTTTTTTGGGGGGGGGGCGTAGTTTATTGTTTTTTATTTTATTACTTTTCAATTTTTATTTCTTTTTATTTTATATTTAAGGAAAGAAAAAGATTTTAAGATGAAGAATTATTGGCAGTTGCTAAGAAATTCCTTTAACCTTTTTTACTTGGTTATAAGTAGTTTACACGTGGAGGTGGAGGAGGTGCAGATGGTATTCTTAAAGATTTGCACCCTTCCACTCCAGGCTGTAAGGTTGTGGCTTGCACCCCACTAAAAACATTCTTACACTCTCCTGTGCTGAATCAAAAAATAATGTAGGAATAGGAATTTTCTCTGGACTTTCTGCTGAGTATTGGTCACGCAACTGCTTTCTTACCTTTTCACAGGTTTCATCAACAAACCTTAAGAAAGAAATCAAGAATCTGACTACGCTTAACAGGATCTCTTTGAGCCATGAGCATAGTTTAAAGCATTTAGAAGGATTACCCATGTTTTACTCCCAGCTAATTCAATTTCACAACAATACACTCCCTCTACCTTACAGTTCCTTAAATCTGTGGCGTGCGCAATTCTAGGGAGCGATCCCTTGCCTTGCCTCTTGTTGCCTCTTTTGGCCCACGCCCCACTTGGGCGCCAGAATGCGGGGAGGGGGGGGGGGGGCCTGAAGCTGCAGGGATCTCCTTTTTCCATGTCCCGCACAGAAAGAGAGATGAAGGAACCTGTTCTAAGTGGAGGTGCCCAGAGATTGAGAAATATCAGAAATAAAGAGAGAACACACAGATAGATTTTAAGCTGGGAGCTGGGGGGGCCGCCGACCTCCTCTGCTGGAGAGACAGACAACCTCATAAGCTACGCAGCACATCAATTTATACTCCAATCCAATAAGGGGTTCCACAGGAAAACAAGGAGCCTGGGAGAGCCCAGGTTCCACCCACTCCTTCCTCCTGGACAAACATAAGCCAGGGACTAAGAGCATCTCCGCACTCCCAGGGCTGGGAGTGCAACTGACAAGATTCTGCCAATATCCCGGGCCCAGTCAGCAACAATCTATAGCATGTCCAGGTGTCTTCCCATTTGGTCCTCTACAATACCCAGCCACTTTTGAGGGGAAAATGTTGCCATTAAAGGAATACAATAAAAAAGCATTACAAAGATTGTACAACATCTACTATTGTTAAAATTTGATAGCAAATTTCAATAAAAAAACAAAATTCAGATGTAGTACAACCACACCCTTTAACAGAGAGAAAACAGTAACTAAAGTAACTCTGATGTGAAAAGGAATAATACAACATACCTGCTCTATCTCTTTTGCAAGGTTAGTCTGAGAGAGATACAAGAAGGTTCTCCCTAAGATTAGGATGGGATGACAATTATTAACTCAAACAGGTGACAATTTAGTCATGTAATGATCCCGACTGTTTCGTGTGCTTTAGTTGTTAGGCCCACAGAACCACTCTTATTGAAATAAACAAACCCAGTCTATTTGGGGTTCGGGGGATGAAATGGGGGCTGAGTACCTGAGATCAACTCCCGGATCTTGCCAAGCAGGACATGGCAGGTGCCCATCAGCCATGAGGTGGAGATACAACAAAAACACCAAGGAGCTCAGGATAGTGAGGAGCCGCTTCGAGCCCTGCCTCGGCCTGAAGGACGTCCTCGTCTGGCCTCTCTCCCAGGAATGGAATGACATTAAGTGAGCTGAGAAGTAAAGAGTTGGAAATAGCATGTACAATCACTAACAGCATTACCTCATGGCAGCAAGGATGACACATCAGAATAAGAATCAAGAAAAACAGGTTCTTCTTTTCAAACTACTCTCATGATGATTGTATTTTTTTTTTTAAAGGAAGAAAGAAAAGAAAAGAAAGAAAAAAGGAAAAGGAAGGGAGGGAGGGAGGGAAAGAAAGGAAAAGGAAAAGGAAAAGGGAAAGGAAAAGGAAAGGAAGAGGATGATAATATATCTCCAAAAAGGGCATAGTGGTAAGAAACGATGTTTTTGTCCCTGTCCCCTGTGGAGGCTTTCATATGTCTTCAAAAGATTGTTTGATTCTGCCTTTTTGGAAGGAAATGTCTGCTTGAGCAGAACCAGCCTGAACTTTATCTTTTGGTGTCAGGTCTCATACAAGTGAGACTTGGATGGGTGTTCAACTTCTCAGACAGCTAATGCAACTCAAACCAAGAGGAAATCTGAGAGTTATGAAATGTCATGCCCTACTGAATGGAAAGGGTTGTAATACAGGAAGTTGCCAGTAGCCAACTGTTTTTAACCTATGGCCTCTGTAATTTCACGTGGTTCAAACTACCTCTGCTTTCAGCTCTCAGAAGCTGAGGAGCTGCGAAAGTCCCTTTCAACTGGTAGCATGCTCCCGGTTCTTCAAAAGGAAAACAATAACCAATTCTCTCAATGACTTTGCTTGCAAATCATTAACTTTAGTTTCCATCCAACTATGCCCAAAGTTCACTGCATTCACCAAAAGGAACTTCTAAAAATTGTTTTGGTCGGTGCTACACACTGAATGTTTGTGTGCCCCACAATCTCCCAAACTCACATGTCCAAACCTAATTCTTCGTGAGATGTATCTGGAAGTGGGACCTGTGCAAATGTTTATGTCATGAGGGAGGAGCCCTCAAGAATGGGACTTCTTTCCGGCAGGGGCAGCTCAGTGGTTGAGCATTAACCAATGAACCAGGAGGTCATGGTTCAATATCTGGTCAGGCAGGGCACATGCCTGGGTTGCAGTCTTGATCCCCAGTAGGGGGCATGCAGGAGACAGCTAACCAATGATTTTCTCTCATCATGAATATTTCTATTTCTCTCCCCATCATCCTTCCTCTCTGAAATCAATACAAAAATATATTTAAGGTGAAAAAAGAAAATAATAAGATTCCTGCCCTTTAAAAAAAAAAAAAAAAAAGAGTCTGTGTGGAACTCCTTTGCCCCTTCTTTTGTGTGAGAACACAATGTGAACGAGGAATCGGGTCCTCAACAGATACTGAATCTGAACCTTGATCTTGGACTTCCCAGTCTCCAGAACTGTGAGAAATAAATGTCCATTGTTTATAAGATGCCCAGTTTTAAGTATTCCTTTACAGCAGCCCACATGGAGTAAGACAGCTGAATTCAAAGATTTTGGCACAATAAGGATGACTGCCTTATTTTCAGGACAACAAGGAATAAATCCAAAGGAGCGGATCAAAGACCCATGTTCATGTGTGTTGGCAGTTATAGAAACAAGCATTTGAAA